TCAGCTCACTACTTTCTTTTTTTAGAAAGAAAGCCTAACAAGATCAGCAGCCCAACAGACAGACATGAACTAGGCTTCAGATTTGTTTAGTAGGCCAACACTCCGGCACACATGAGAATAGGCTCCCAGGCAGACACCAAGTTGTGTTCATATTCTCTAATATTCATTTTAGATCAGAGTAAGGTAATGTCTTGAGAGTAGCAGCTTAAACACCAACTCAGTAACTCTGAGTTACTGAGAAAGTAACTGGGAAAGTTAAAGTAAAAAAACTAAAATCAAAAACGCAAAAACCATAAAGAAAGGAATGAGTGCCCTTTAATTTTAGACACCAGCTAATACTTGACTAATCAACAAGACATTTTAAAAAAAAAACTGAATTAAATTTAGCAAAATTTAAAAATCCTTCTTTGTACTTCTGTTTAAAATATATTTCTACCACTTTTTACTATCTATCAATTACTATGTTTTGCTAATGATAAACTCAAATTTTGTTGTTTTTCATGCATTGATACTAATACCTAACCTAAACCTACAGGTTCCTGAATATTTCAGATAATAATAAATATTCTAGATTACAAATTTGGTATGAAAAACTTTAATGAAAACATTAATCATACAAAAATTAAATAACAAAACCATTTAAAATGACTTACAATTTAAACAGATTTGGCTTACTGATATTTCTCTATCAGCTTTTCATAAGAACTAATTATTTCCAGATAAAAATCTACATAAGAGTACCGTGGTAAGAAAAAATGAGAATAAAGTACATGAAGCTCATAAGCCCTGTGTTCAGCACATAGTGCTCATAAATATTAGTTTTTCTTTTATTATTACTTTGAAAAGACACATACAAGTTTTATAAAACATGCCGACTTCAGTTGAAAGCTTCTTACACTAGAAATACCCACATGTGAGGAATCCAGTCTGGCATATTTTGAAAACAATATTTTCCTCTAAGGAACATACTACATAAAAATTTATTTCAATAACTGATAAGCCAGTTTCTGGAATCTAATTATATAAATTCATGTTACAATTTAAGAGGCCTTTTAGAGAATTATCTTTTTTAAAGTACAATGTTACATGATGAAGAAAAGTACCTTCTAATAAGTAACCAAAGCATTATGAAATATCCCTCTTACTGCACATGTGGCTCAGTTTCATCTTAATGGGAGGGTGGGGAGGGGAGGGTAAGTTGGTTTGAAATAGTGAATGAAACAACTATGTTAATACAAGGAAGCACAATGAACAACTAACATGCTCTCCTGCCACTATATATGCCTTATGAAATATTTTATCATTTCAGTCATGCTTTTAATATCGAACAATGTTATCTTGCCACTTTTCATATATTAAGATAAAGCTTAACATTCTATCCTTCTAACAACAGCTGGAAGAGAACAGAGAGATGAGTGTGAATACATATCATGTTGTACAACATACACTTCCTAATATTCCAAATTTAACAATGTGTCTAAATCCAATCTGAGGTATATTAACAGATCAAAAAATTTTAAGCCGCACCAGGGGCTATGTACCATGCAAACACTAACACCAAAACTGCACACACTGGGAGGAGATGATATTTATACTTCTGCCACAGCGTTGGCTCAACTGCCACTTCATCTCTTTTCCTGTTCTTCTTCCGACGACCCTTCAGTCTGTTTTCAAAAGCCTCCAGTTCAGCCTAAATCAAAATAGTAACATTTTTATTAAATCCAATATATACATTAACTTGAAATCTTCCACTTAGATGAAAATAAATCAATTTGGGAAATGTTTTAGTAGTAATGGTATATAATAAATACAGTGATTTTATTTTTTTGTCTTAAACTCTCTACTACTAATTGTATTCAACAAACACAGAGCTTAGGAATGCCGTGCTAAGAGATGCCCAGTGAAAATAACTCCAGTTTCTTACAATGTTGATAAATAACATTAGTGGCTTGTGTAGAAGAAATTTGAGTAAAGAGAGAGAAAAAAAAAGCCACCAGAAACTCATTCTTCTCTTGATAAAACACAGTTAAAATCATAGAATAAAATTTCTTCTGGAGAAAAATGCTTCATGCTTTAAATCAAATGACTATTTTAGAAAGTAAATTATATAAAAACTACTTCTAAAAAAAGGATAACTGAATGACACTCATTATAAAATGTGGAGTTCTATTCTACTGTTAAGAATTTCTTAAACTTTAATACATAATAATGTAACATGCACTGTTATTAACTAAAACTTAATAGGTAATTAAAATATATGTAACATGCATGCAAGAGTCTGTAAATCAGCGGTTCTCAACCTGTGGGTCGCGACCATCAGAAAACACATATAGCATATCAGATATTTACATTAAGATTCATAACAACAGCAAAATTACAGTTATGAAGTAGCAACAAAAATAATTTTATGGTTGGAGGGTCACCACAACATGAGGAACTGTATTAAAGGGTCACGGCATTAGGAAGGTTGAGAACCACTGCAAATGTTTATTAATAGTAGAAATATAAAATTCAGTTAACACTCCATTATTTTATTTGTAGTCTATAAACTACATTTGAAGACCTAATCGTGTACTTAATTTAATCAAAAGTGACATTTTTCAATGAACCAAATTGTCAGAATACTGTCAGGGGGCTGTTGATATATAGAAGAAGATCAAAATACATTAAAAGCAGCCAAACGTGAGAAACACTGACAGTAAAATAATTGATGCTTTAATGATGATCCACAGACAATGCATATAGTTTAAATTATGTTCTATATACTCTATTTAAAAGGTCAGTAAATAGGGAATATATTTGAAATCACCGTCCATAATGGTTTATAAAAAGGTGAGGGACACCCTAAGCTATTCTTAATAATTTAATCTCCCAGGAATTCAGCCAACATGTTTTACTGCATTACCTCTGACAACTTATTTTGGGATAGTAGGCAAATCAACTTTACAGAACCATAAAATATCATACGTCATTTTGGTCTATTTTTATTTGCCACATAAATTATTTCTAATGTCTTCCTCAAGTCATTCAAGTTTTAATTTCCTCATTCATAAAAGCAGCATTTTAACATATACTGTACCCTGCTTGATAAGTATAAAGCATCCCACAATGCAAATTAACAAATAATTACATGTCACTATAAGAAAGTTAAACCACTCTTTGCAGTATATGATCAATATAGTATTTGAACAAACTGGAGGTATCAGGAATGAATTTGTTATCTAGGTAATAACAAAAAAACAGATAATAATCCTACTTTTAAGAACCTATGGGGTCCTAGCTGGTTTGGCTCAGAGGATAGAGTGTCGGCCTGCTGACTAAAGGGTCCCGGGTTCGATTCCAGTCAAGGGCACATGCCTGGGTTGAGGCTCAATCCCCAGTAGAGGGTGTGCAGGAGGCAGCCGATCAATGATTCTCTTTCATAATTGATGTTTCTATCTATTTCCCTCTCCCTTCATCTCTGAAATATATCTGTATCTATCTATCTAGATAGATAGATAGATATAGATATGTATATATAGATAGATAGATATGTATGTATTTATTTATTTATTTAAGAATCTAATGGGGACATAGGAGAATGTATTATTAACACAAATGCTATGGTTAAGACTTATTTGCTACACATAATCTACAACTCAGTAAAATAGAACTCAAATAATTTTAGATGAGTGAAGACATGGGCTCCAGGAAATGCCTTAAAATGGATGGCACTGCACCCCAACCCTCTCCCCCCAGACTAAAAGATGAGTTAAAACTCTGGCTGTCTAGGGCGTGGGGATAAAATGGACACATATGTAATACCCTTTGTAATACTTTAAGCAATAAAAAAATAAAATAAAATAAAATAAAAAAAAACTCTGGCTGGTGAATGGATGAAATTGGCAAGGAAGCAAAGGAAGAACATTGGGAATATATAAAATATCTGGGAATATACGAGATCCTGTGCTTCTTCAGAGGTACAGTGTACCTGGATTAAAAGTAAAAGTAAGTGAATGGCTTCCTTTAATGTATGCACTATATTATTTTCAGTCCCGAATAGAGTTGACTAGCCCCTAGTTTGTACCAGGAATATACTTTGTATTTGAATAAAAACTAACAATGATGCAAAGAAACACAACTCTGGGTGTTCTGTTCAGTTACCTGTTGTCTTCGTTTTTCCTCTTCCAGAGCAGCTTTGGCTTCTGCTTCTTTTATCTGTTTAGACATTTAAAAGTAAAGTAACACATTGTAATTTTCAAATTCTATACAGAATGTTAGCATCATCTCACTGAGGCTCCACAAACCCATAATGACTTTTGGAGGCTTTATACTGGCAGTTAAAGAAATGTAAATATTACAGTGAAAAGTGTTACCAAGATACTGTCTAACAGACTGGGGGTGAGGAGAGATGGAATGTAATACCTTCTATAAACACTTCAATTTAACTATAACAGATATTAGATCACAATTCAAAGAGCTACAATAGTATTAACTGAAATGCTTTTAAAATGTTTTTTTTTTTTCTTTAGAGTAATCATAGTAACAAGCTATAGTCAAAAATATTTAATACCACTCTCTTTCTGGAGTTATAATCAATCATTTACTTTAAATGTCTTGAAGGGAAACCTTACTTTCAAACAAAATCAACGGTTCACTCATGGACTAGGTTGAGTGCAGGAATAAATGACGTAAGAGGTAACCCACACAGCAAAGAATCCTAAAACCTTATCTTTATATTATTTTAACCTAATTTTCAGGAGGTTTACACTAACATTAACAACCATGTCCCAGAGCACATACTCTAACTGGTTAAGAGAATGGAAAATCTAATACACATTAGACAATAAAAAGCACACCTGAAGATTCAAAGTAGGCCTATAAAACCAGGTTTTAATTATAAAAACAAAAAAGATGAGCTTTCCAGTCATTCTCAATAAGCACATAAAGAAATGCACAAAATAAACAGGGAAAGGCCATTAGCACGTTGAAAATTATATTTACTGCTAATGTGACAGTACCTCAGAGGCTTTCCGCTTCATTTCCTTGCATGTTGCGTCACATTCTATTGAAATCTGATTTTCACGTACTTTGTTGCACTGAAATTCCTAACAAATGAAAATTTTTACATTTCAGATTTTAAGATTTTTCCCTCCTAACTGTATGTCATAAGAAAGCAAAATTTCCCTAAGAGCTAAAGGTTATGCAAATTATTTAAGTCATGTTCATTAATATTTAATAATTTGATATGGTTGCAAGTATCAAATCTCTTGGTTCAAAGAGTGATTATTACTTTATTTTCCCTTAAATACAAAAAAGCAAATACCATAAAATTAAAATCATCCACTTACTAAGTACAACTATTGAGAAACGTCCGTTTTTCTTTATTGTTTCTTGTTAATCTATAAAGCTTCCAGGTAATAAAATGCTCCAGAGCAGTCCATCCAGCGGCTTTCTGAAATGCTGGAAATATTCTAAATCTGCACTAACTACCCAATTGAGTAGCACTAACCACGTGTGGCTACTGAGCATTCAAAATGTGTCTAATGAAAGGAGGACATGAACGTTTAATATTATTTACTGTTAATTCATTAAAATTCAAACTTAAATAGCCACATATGGCTAGTGGCTACCAACTCAATGTAATTCTAGAATTTTCTAAAGAGCTACAAATTTTTCTCTAAACTAGTAAACCTTTGTTCAGTTTAAATGAAAATCTTTCTACAGTTTGTATTTGCACTTCACTGCCTCCTTAATGAAATAAAGGAGGATCTTAATGACTTGATATCAATACTATGATCAATTTGTGTACTATGCTATAATGAATTAAGTGGTCCTTATTTTAAACTAGAGGCCCGGTGCACGAATTCATGCACCAGTGGGGTCCCTCTGACTGGTTTGCGGGATGGGGCCTAAACGGGCTCTCTGACATCCCCCAAGGGGTCCCGGATTGTGAGAGGGCACAGGCCAGGCCGAGGGACCCCACTGGTGCACGAATGGGGCCAGGGAGGAACTCGGGGGGTTGGCCAGCCGGGGAGAGACTACAGGAGGGTTCTAGGGCTTGTCCAGACTGTCTCGCTCAGTCCCTGCCAGACCCCAGCAATAAGCTAACCTTCCAGTCGGAGCATCTACCCCCTGGTGGTCAGTGCACATCATAGTAAGCGGTTGAGCGGCCTTAGCATATCCTTAGCGTATTACACTTTGATTGGTTGAACAGATGACCAGACGGCCGGACACTTAGTGTATTAGGCTTTTATTATATAGGATACTCTGAGACTTTGATTTTATAGATCTTTCACAAACCTTTTATTTATCCCTGTTTCTTGCTGTCAGATGTCTTTTGCTCTAAGGGTACCAATATTTGTATCAATTTTTCCTCTCGCATCACACTCTTAGATTCTAGTTTTTTAGTTCAAATCTACCACAGTTAAGAAATAAGATCACCAATTCCTATGAATAAAGTGCATATACTTTAATGAAAGCACTTTATAGAATGAAATTTTATTACTTAGAAGGTTTTTCCCTTTAGTTCTTCACTTTTGGTTGATGTTAGTGATAAACAGTCTTGTTCTCTAAGGATAGTCCAGAAAAAGAAAAAATATGATGACCAAACATGAAAGACAAAAAATTAAATGTGTGTGTTTGTGGACATTAAGGCTATAAGCCTGAAAGATCTTATCTTTTCTCATTCAAGATGTACTTATAGAGTGCCTATTACATGTCAAGTGTTTTGTTATGAACAGGGGATATACATAAGGAAAAGAGCTTAATAATAAGTGCTAAACTAAAAATAATAATAGTAGCTACTATGATATTAAACATACTCCAATGTTACGAGAAACATCGCAGTCATTGTGCTAAATGCTATATACGCGTTACTTTTATTCCTTTCAGTAAATCTATGTGTAAACTCTATTTCAGATGAGGAAACAAAGTTATAGATGTGCCTAGAATCCTGAAGCTCTTGAGAAAACTCTATAGCATCCAATACAAAGAAAGCAGAGGAAGGAGCACCTAAGTCTTTCCAAGGGAGTCAGGGAAGAAAGACCTTCTCTAACAAGGAAATGTTCACACTGAGTATTAGCAGGATTCTCACAAGCAAATGGTAAGGGAAAAATACATTGTATTTTACACAAAAGAAGGAATATATGTATACACATACACACACACACACACACACACACACACACAGGCTAAAGGGGAGTACAGCATGTATGTTAGGACACTTATAAATAACAGATTCACAGAGTGCTATAGGACGAGACTGGACAAATAGGCAAAGTAACATCATAGATTCTCTTGTATGTCGAGTCTATGTATATACACATTTCTTATAAATGCATATTTTCCCCACAATGCATGAAGAACCAATGAAGAACATAGACAGGAGAGGTGCTATGATTAGAGGCAAGGAAATCCATCATGAAGCTGTTGTCAAAGTCCAAGAGCAAGCTGTTGCCGAAGTTCTAATGGGTGGCAAACTGCACCTGGACAATTAGATTTGAGAGAAAACCTGATAGACGGCCTAAGTTAAAAGTGGCTTGACTTAAGTGTTGATTTTCATGTAAAGGTGATTCACTTTAAACAATTAAAACTTAGGAAATTCAACTCTAGAAGAGGTCAAGTCTATACATTTAAATTCAGAAGTTATCTACCCCAAATAATAATAGTAGGAGCTGTGAAAACAAAAGAAGAGAAGAGAACCTTAATAAAAGCAAAAGATTCTAAATAAGTATTTGTTGAATGGGTAAATAAAAGAGTGAATTTAAAGAAGAAGAAAAAAAGGAGCCTATCTTTAGGAAATGACCATAGAAATATGAAGACAAAAAGGAGTCGACTATAACTGAGACGGAAAAACCAAAGGTCAAGAAAGAAGAAACCTTCAAAGGAGTCAACAGTGTCAGCAGGAAAGTCAAGGAAAAGAACTGGAAAAAGACCCTTCAGCCACTGGCATCTGAGAATTCAGACTCTTTCTTCAGTTTTGCCCAGCGTTATGTAATTTGTTGCGATTGAGCTTTCCAATCGTTAGTTTTTGCCGTCTTACTCCTCTGTTACTACTATTTTACATTAAAATTAGTTCTCTACAAGTTTGAATATTATTTTAAAATTTTATAAGGCTGTGCATGTGAGGTCCTTTTTAAGGCATTTTCAAAACATAATACTGACAGCAAAAAAAAGTTTCTTAAGAGCAACAAAGGTTAATTCCAGACCATTTCTTAAACCATGACACTCGCTTTATTACTCATTGTGTTCCCTGGGCAAAGCGGATTCTATCCAAAAAAAGGACACTGACCTTGGTTCCAACATAAAACAATCTTTTACTATTAAATTGCAAAAAACTAAATTGCCAAACAAAGCTGATTTTTAAAACAAGCATTTACAGAAATAGATGGGGTAATAATAATAAAAATTCTAAGAAATAAGACCTTAAAATTAAAAAGCAAAAAATAAAGCCAAAGAACTACCAAACACAGACAAAAATATGTACATAGAAAAGAATTTTCAATAACTTAAAATATTTACCTTTTTAATTCTTTTACAAGGACATCTAAGTTTTACCTTCTGGTTGCAATTAAAAGGACATTCACCAGGGTGGCACATCTCTTTGCACCTATGACCACAAGGAAGCTAAAATAAAATCAAAATAAAGCAGTTACATTCTCAACTACTTATTACCCCAAATCTGAATTTGGACAGAAGAAAATATATTTTAACAAGAAAAACTCAGGATTGAAAAATTCAGAAAATTAAATTTGAAATAAGTCATGCCTCCAGTTTTACTCATATTAACAAAGACAGGATTATTAAAATAATCATTTAATGCTTGAAATGGTCTCATATTTTATAATCTTCCATAAATTCTGAAACTGTCAAATCTTAGTTCTTGAACAAAAATCCATAAAAAGTATCCAAAGTTTTAGTTAAAAGAAAATACATTTTTAACAAAATGGCATATCATGCACTGATTTGTTTTATTTAGTCAAAGAGACTGATTACTATATTTAAAACTATGTTGCCATCTCTTCCTGATCAAGAATTAAAAGAAAAGAGGTACTATTAGTACATCCTTAAGTCAAAAGGCTTCCTTTATAAATCCCACCTTTGCAAGTCAAATAACTGTCACTGCCCTAGCTCCAACAACAACAAAAAGGAGAATGTTGACTTTTAGATTGGCCCAATACAGATGGATAACCTTGGTTTCTCACATTATTGCCAGGATAAATCAATAGTGAGATTTTACCATCTTACTCTGAACAATTTTTTTGGAACCACTTTCAATACTTGTAGTTCAAATATAATGCATAGACAAACATCTGAATTTTTAAAAACAAAACTTTATATATGAATGCTTTATACTAATTCAAAATAATAATGAATTTTAAAGTTCATACACAAACATACATGTCTTTTTTAAATACCCTACTATGAACTTATTCTCTAACTGCCTAAGACCCACACAGATTTTGATATATTTATATTTTAAGTCTGAATCACATGGGAGGTAAGGATTAGGTGAGTACCTTATTGCATAAAGTATATAAGCTATCTTTAAAACTACTTAAAAAATCTTCAAAGGGTCATCCTAGACCTCATACTCCCCAAATTTCATAAAGGGATGTGCATCTACCCTACTCATATGTATTACATTTTTACAAACATCACATTTTTATTTCTGGACCCACATTTTTAGTGGGCCCAGAAAAATCCTGAAATAGGATGTCCAAACAAGAAAAGAGAAAATCCAAGAAAAACAATGCCCCAAAAATACAATTTAAAAGATTCTATTAAAGCTTACCTCTTTAGGACACTGATCTTTGCAACAACTGAGGCGGTTCTTTTCATTTATATCAGCTGTTGTTATTTTTCTAAAAATACGAGAATAAGATTTGGTGACATTCAAACCAAGTCCATTTCATAGCATATTTTCCAAAAACAACTCACAATTTCAAACATGTCTATAAAATCATCTTTCTTATTTTTTCTTGAGACCTATTTTAATTGTTTCTTTCTGTAACAATTATCTTCCAATTACTTTACTGTTCTGATAAATCAAATTTTCCAGCCCTTCATCAACTACCAACAAATTAAATGCCAAAAGGGCAATCACTGCAAGAAGGAAGCACAAAACACACATGAAACATCACTGTATTTGGCCTCTCTTTAAAAGTTCCTGTACTATCTTTCCCTATAGTTTGATCATTATTAATAATTAAAATTCTTAAAGCCTCTACATAAATTATTAAAAACTAGTCATTTAATATGTTACTTCAAATTTAAAAAGTTAAGCTATTCAGTGGGAAATGTAAGCTTATTATGAAAGCCTTTCAGTTGTTTTTGGATAGGCTATTAATGTTAGAAATTGATTCATTTTAGATTACATCATTTTAGATCAGTCTATGCTTTTATATGACTCAATAGGTAATTCAGAAATAGTCATAAACACCAAGGAATAAAACCACTTTCTAATAGGGAGTTGAATAGAATCAGAAGAGATACTACATGAGTCAGTAACTAGTGACAATCTAAAAATCCCTACTATATCTATTGCCCAAGATTGCTTTTTCTTCTTCTTTTTTTAAATTCTTTCTTTTCCTGCTTTTTCTATTTCCTTTTACTAGACATAATTGCCAAATTATAGCATAAGGTTAGCCTCACTAATGTCAAAATTGTAATCTTAATATCAAATTATCTATAAATGTACTCTAACATACACAATTTTCTTGGCAAAATTTCATTTACTATCACAGAGTTTTTATGCTAGTTCTACTAAACATTACATATTTTCATTCTTAAAGTATGGTGCTCACCTCTGAACTTAAGGATTAAAATCATATTGTTCCTGTTATTCTATAAATTAGGAAAAATTACCTACTTTTCAAGGTCTGTATCTTTTATACTTAATTTCCATAGAAGAAATACACATGAAGCAGAAAAGGACTAAAAGGAAAAGATGACTTATAAAATAATTAGTTGAATTAGAGCAAATAAAATTATCAAAATACCGAGACTAAGGAATTCTGTATAAAAACATATATTTTAAATATGTATTCAAGAAAGGGAAAAAGGAACTCTGGATAGCTGAGATAATGAAAGCCATCTCAATCCAAATGTATCCACACATTCCCCAAAAAACCATTCAGCTCATTAATAACAAAATCATTCAAATCTCATGACCTTGGCATAACTAGAAGACAGAAATATCTACAAGCTTCAAATTACCTGTAAGTAGAAAAGTAAGTATCAATTCCTAGCAGAGCTATTTCTCAAGCTCCCATAGGAAATCTTTTCAAGAAGTCAGTGAAGTTCTGGAAAAACTGAACAGAAGAGACAGGGAGCTAACATCACTCCAGAAAAAGAAAGTCAACCCTCAGGGTAAGAGCACTAAAAAAGTCTTGGTAATCACAGCACTAACTACAGGGAAGAGATTTGGAAAAGTGCACAACAATCAAGGAGCCATGAACTGAAGGTAAACAGGGAAAGTCACCTTTTGAAGACTACACGATGAAGAGAAAAAGAAGAAAAGAAAATGTAGGACCCTGCAAGATCACAGAAAACAATCCCTTTTTGTCAGTATCACCCATTAATAAAGCAAAATTGCCCCCTTAACTCCCCCTACAAAACTTCTAAAGCTAAAAATTGTAGTATGTTATTTTATTTTTTAAATTTCAACAAAATAATTCTGACTTTTACAAAGCATGAATCTAACGTGTAAGTGACAAAAACAAATTTACAGGCATTTTTCAAAAAGCATTTATGCTAAAAAAAAAAAAAAAAATCAGAAATAAAATTATATTCCCAAATTTGACTTTGAGTAAATCAGACTTTTAAAAAGCCCATTTTATAGACTTGGATGAAATGAAGCTCATTGAGTTAGACCATAATTAACTTGCATTTTTTTAAGTAAGGAAAACATAAAGGTCACATCCTTATATAATAAATGCCATAACAGTGACATCTGTAATAAACAAAACTGTACCTTTTAAATCTACAATTTAAAAATTACACTTAAGTAATTATGCGTGAATCAATTTTTGATCCAATGAAATTCTAGTTTGACACTGTTATTTGAACATGCTGTTTATTTATAGAAATGCTCCTCCTTTTTTCTTTTTTTTAAAGCAGTCATATAATTCTTTTCCTAACAAATCTTATAGAATCCCCAAGTGGAAAAACTTGGAAACGCCCTGGTTAAAAAAGGATAAAGTATCTACAAGGTGAAATAGTCTACATTGCCTCCAGGTCTCTAGGGAAAATCTAGGTCTCTAGAGTCTCAGGACCACCACTGAAAAATATTCCTTACCGTATATTACATATGAAGAGCTCTGATTTATAAAAAGATACCATGAAAATAATTTTAGTAGAACAACAATATTTCTTCAGTCTTCTTACCTACATTCCACATATAGGGTTGTGATCTTGCAGTGACATTTTATTCTAAGCATCTGAACACAAGGAGGACATTCTCCAGGGTGGCATGGCAAAACGCATGGATGAGGACAACCCACTGGCCGTGATTTAGAGCACCCTTCTTCACACTGAAGGCATTCTGGGCCAGCCTGCCAAATTGAAAGGAAATAAATCACCTACGTACAGAAGTCTAACATTTCTATACAGTAGTTATAAAATTTACATATCCCATTAAAACAAAGTACTTCTGCAGCTCTTAGAACTACAGCTTAAAAATATTCAAAATGAAGAATAGTAAGATTATCAATATGACCATTATTCACAAAGATTTCTATGTCATCAAACCTGATTAAATCAAACTGCCTCACCTTAAAAATGGAATGAATACATTAAGTATCTGATAAAAACATAAATTACTTCCTAAAGAATAATCAATGGCAGAAAAAAATACATAGTAAGACATTATCAATTCATTTACACCCAACAAGTACGATCATCATCAAACTAAAAAAGCATTCAATGTTCTGGAGATAGTCATCTCATCTTGCTAAAGGAAAACACATATAGAGAAAAAAAGGTGAATGACCACCAGTTTAATTTATTTTTAATGCACTTCAATAAGGCAAACCTAAATCACATTTAGTACAAATAAATGTTATCTCAATTGTAAAATTGTAACTTAACAAGTCACCTCTCCGCTCTATGAATAATTTAAGTAGTATCTGTCTACTAAAGAAGGTTAAAGATTTTTATTATAGGATAGTGTTGAATTTCACATATCATACTGAGATAAAATAAAAGAGTTATAAATATGAATACTAAGTCTTAAAGGCTCAACATTTTTCATTATCAGCTTTTAAAATGAGCTTTCTTCAATTCATCCAACTTTCTGGAAATCCAGGGAGGAGAGCATCCTAATTTTAAGTAGTGGGATGATGAGAAGAAACGCAGAATAAACATTTGGGTATTAATCCTAATAAAAGAAATTTTTTTCATTTTATTGAAATATAATTGGTATTGTATATACTCAAGGTGTTAAGATGTTAATTTGATACACTTATATAGTGTAATAGATTGTCATTGCAGCAATAGCACCTCTATCATGTGACAGAATTATCCTTTCTTCTTAGTGGTTAGAATAATTAAATTCTAGTCTCTTAGCAAGTTTAATAATTATAATGAAATTCGTTTGTTTTTTTTTTAAATCAATGAAACATGACACATCACACACACTGCTTTTAGCAGTGTTCGCAAACATTTCTTTGCATTCTCAATCACTTGGGAATCTTGTTAAAATGCTGAAGTGGGGCCTGAGACTTTGCATTTCTAACAAGATTCCAGCTGATGCCAATGTTGCTGGGCTGCAGACAACACTCTGAGTGGCAAGGGTCTATAACATGCAAAATTATATAGAAATATATGTAGGTATGATTATGTATCTACATATATTTTTATTTTTTATGTATTTTTGGTGATAGATTCCACACCACCCCTCCCCCCCCCAAAAAAAACAACTTTCCCAATTACTCAATTTCTTCTTGCAGGCACTTCAAAAGATATTTGTCCCACATTTGCCTGGGAAATACACACCATTTCAATTGTCACCAGCCTCACACGTTTCCCTGTCAACCACAGTTCCACTCATTATAACCAATGAATTAGACAACAGGAATATCTGTTGCTAATGGTAACAATCAGAGCCACTGCTCAGGCAAGGATACCAGAGAAGAGTGGATAAGCCAAAGAACTTTGAGTCCAGTCAATTCTATAAATACTTACTAAATACCTGCTGTGTTGTAGGCTCTGTGCTACAACTGAAAGCTGAAACTGTATTAAAAATTCCATAGGTATTTGGGTCAAGACACATACTAGGAGTATTTCTCCAATGGGTCACAATTGAGGTAAGGTAAGAAATTTTTTTTAAGTTTCTGGAGTTATTTTGTTTAATATATAAATTAGAGTGATTGCAAAGTTAACCCTAAAATAATGTAATTTTCACTCACTTGAATTGCAGTAGCCTTCCTTGAGTGAGAGATAGGAATGGACTGGTAGCTAAATTGAGAAAAATTGCACATAACTTATAACCCATATTTTGCAACATCCACTGCCCAGGAAGTCATTGTGGAATTCTCCAATCATTGTCATATTAGCTCTTAAAACGACTTTTTTCTGACTCATTTGATGTTCTGAAAACCTCGAGGAGGAATACCTTATAGCAGCTATTCCTTAAAGTAGTTTTGAATCATTAAAATTATTTATTAGCTTGATTTTATAATTCCAATACCCTTTCATTTTATCATGACTACGTTTTTATTGAGGACCAAGGCATGGACTAATGAGGAAATTATAACTCATTTACATCTATGTCTACATATGAGCAAGAATGATACAATGGATATTTATGCTGTCATACATTACAATTACCAAAAGAAAGACCAAAAAACCTAACAATGCAATTGAAATTTTCAATAACACAATTCATATTAATAATTTAAATATCTGTTCATTTAATGTTACTTAATAAATACGAAACTTAAAACTTTTTACTTATTCCTCATTAAGCACACTTGCTATTACGATTCCCTATAAAATGGAAGCCTAAGAAAAAACATGAATTACTTTAAAAAAAATAAAATTTAATATCATTTAAAAGTTAATTGGCTCTATTTGTTTTTCTTTATAAAATGACAATTTTTAGAGATCTCTTTAGAGTCAATTTTTCATATGCTTATAAAATGCTTTTACTGAATTTCACACACACATACACACACATCTGTGACGATATTTACTTCCAAATGAAGTTTGGGAATTTATTAAAACTATGAGCATCATGTATCATGTGTTAGTTTTTAAAAATATTTTAAAGCAAATTCAGAGATATGTAAGCGTTTATACATTACCTTATTTTTGCCAATGCAGGCTTCAGTTTCAGTGACTTTGTGGCATTCTTTCATACATGTATGATTCTGACAATCTAAGGTTCGTCCACAAACTCTCTTACAAGAGTAGGGTCCTACAGCATGGCATGGTAGTGGACTCACCTTAAAAATAAAAAAAAAAATAGCACAACACACACACACACCTCCAAGACCCATGTTTCCAAAACAACTAACTCTGTTGTCACTTGATAACAAGTTTCACAAAGGTCTGAAACATTTTCACTAATAATCATCATCAAAACCAAAGTAACCTATCCAAAAAAAAATGCAAAACATGAATGCCAAGAAGCAAAATATTCCCTAAAAGGGAAATGCAATACGATTCTGTAGTAAATGCATATTCATAAGCTAATTTTCAAATAAGAGCACTGTATACAGGGTGTGGCAAAAGTAGCTTTATAGTATTTTGCCACAACCTGTAGTTTTAGAATTAGTAGACAAACTATTGTCTTTACAGCACTGAAATAACAACACTTTGACTTCATTATTTCTAACAATCTTAGTATAGGAAAAACATAGATGACAAGTTTTACTTAAACTTGTGCCTAGCTCTGGCTGGTTTTGCTCAGATAGAACATCGGCCTGTGGACCCGAGGGTCCCAGGTTCGATTCTGGTCAAGGGCACATGCCGGGGTTGCAGGCTCGATCCCCAGTAGGGGGTGTGCAGGAGACAGCCAATCATTGATTCTCTCTCATCATTAATGTTTCTATCTCTCTCCCTCTCCCTTCCTCTCTGAAATCAATAAAAATATATTAAAAACAAACAAGCAAAACTTGTACCTATAACTCACCTCGTGCTTCCCAAGACACTGCCTGCAAGAAAAAAATAAAATAAAATAAAAACATTACAAATTCTTCAAAAAAAAAACAACACCCAAAGCAAAGATGCTAATTCTATTATTTGTTTTATTAAGAGTAAAAAATAAACACATACGGAAATAAGTGATTATAGAAACACCGCAAGATACGAAGTTAATATATAAAAGCTAATTGCTTTTCTATAAACCAGCAACAAACAATTGGAAATTAAAAACATGAAACATACCACTATTTATGTTAGCACACAAAAAAGGAAAAATACTTAGGTATAAATCTAACAAAATATTTACAAGACCCATATGAGGAAAATTACTCATGAAAGAAATCATAAATCTAAATAAATGGAGATACATTCCATGTTCACTGATAGGAAAGTGCAATATTTTTAAGATGTTGCTTTTTCCCTACTCCATGCAGATTCAACCCATGTTATTCTGTGGATATCAACACAGTGATTCTAAGATCTATATGAAAAGACAAAGGACCCAGAACAGGTAACCCAGTACTGAAGAACAATGATGTCAAAGGACTGACACCACCTAACTTCACGACTTATAGAAAGCTACAGTGATCAAAGCAGATGGTATTTGGTGAAAGAATAGACAAATAGATACTGGAACAGAACAGAGTCCCAAAATACACCCACACAAATATGGTCAGCTGATCTTTGACAAAAGAGAAAGGTAACTGAATCAAGAAAGGATAGTCTTTTCAACAAATGGTTGGTGCTGGAACAAAGGGACATGGAACAGAAAAAAATCCAGACAGACCTTACACCTTTCACAGGAGTTAACTCAACATGGGTAATATACCTAAATGTGAAATGTGAAACTATAAAACAGGAGAAAATGTAGGTGACTTTGAGTTTGACTTTTCAGATATAATATCAACAGCATGAGCCATAAAAGAAAATGGTAATGGACTTCATTACCATTGATGGACTTCATTAAACCTAAAACATCTTCTCTATAAACATTTAAAAGTATTAAATGAAAAGACAAGCAACACACTGGGAGAAAATACTTGGAAAACATATACCCAGTAAAGGACTTGTACCCAAAAATATAAAAAGAACTCTTAAAACTCAACAATAAAAAAGCAAACACATATTTAAAAAATGAACAAGATATGAATGAACAGAAAACAGACAAATCTTAAAAGAAGACATGCAGATGGCAAATAAGCGCATGAAAAGATGCTCAACATCACGTCATTAGAGGACTGCCAATTAAAATGAGATACTACAGCACATCTATCAGAATGGCTAAAACTCAAAACACTGACTATACCAGATACTAGCAAGGATGTAGAGCAACGGGCGCTCTCATTCATTGCTGGTGCGAATGCAAAATGATACAGTTTAACAATTTCTTACAGAATAAACATAGGCTTACCATACGAGGCAGCAATTGCACTCCTAAATATTTTCCCAAATGAGTTGAAAACTTATGGCCATTCAAAAAACTGCACATAAATGTTTACAGCAGCTTTATTCATAATTTCTAAAACTTGGAAGCAACAAAAATGTCCTTCAACAGGTGAAGAGATAAACTGTGGTAACCATAAAATAGAATAATATTCAGTGATAAAAAGAAATGAGCTATGAAGCCATGAAAAGACCTGGAAGAACCTTAAATGCATATTTCTAAGTGAAAGAAGCCAGTCTGAAAAGACTACATACTGTATGATTCCGACCATATGACATTCCGGAAAAGTCAAAACTACAAAGACAATAAAAAACAACAACAGTGGTTTCCTAGGCATTCATCAGGGAGGGAGGCAAGGGATAAATATGAGATAGGGCATGTTCGGGGCAGTGAAACTATTCTGTATAGCATGTATGTTAAATAGTCTTCCTGATTCTCATAGCCACTTGGCCTGGAGGTCAAACCCTCCCTGGTATTAGCTACAACAATCAAGGTTTATAGGACTGCGCACAAAGACCACTGGGGGGGCACCAAGGAAGCATAACAAAATGCGGAGACAAAGAAACAGGACAAAATTGTCAGTGGAAGATATAGAGTTCAGAACCACACTTTTAAGGTCTCTCAAGAACTGTTTAGAAGCCGCCGATAAACTTAATGAGATCTACAAGAAAACTAATGAGACCCTCGATCTTATATTGGGGAACCAACTAGAAATTAAGCATACACGGACTGAAATAACGAATATTATACAGACTCCCGACAGCAGACCAGAGGAGCGCAAGAATCAAGTCAATGATTTGAAATTCGAGGAAGCAAAAAACACCCAACCGGAAAAGCAAAATGAAAAAAGAATCCAAAAATGCGAGGATAGTGTAAGGAGCCTCTGGGACAGCTTCAAGCGTACCAACATCAGAATTATAGGGGTGCCAGAAGATGAGAGAGAGCAAGATATTGAAAACCTATTGGAAGAAATAATGACAGAAAACTTCCCCCACCTGGTGAAAGAAATGGACTTACAGGTCCAAGAAGCGTGGAGAACCCCAAACAAAAGGAATCCAAAGAGGACCACACCAAGACACATCATAATTAAAATGCCAAGAGCAAAAGATAAAGAGAGAATCTTAAAAACAGCAAGAGAAAGAAACTCAGTTACCTACAAGGGAATACCCATACGACTGTCAGCTGATTTCTCAACAGAAACTTTGCAGGCCAGAAGGGAGTGGCAAGAAATATTCAAAGTGATGAATACCAAGAACCTACAACCAAGATTACTTTATCCAGCATAGCTATCATTCAGAATTGAAGGTCAGATAAAGAGCTTCACAGATAAGGAAAAGCTAAAGGAGTTCATCACCACCAAACCAGGATTATATGAAATGCTGAAAGGTATCCTTTAAGAAGAGGAAGAGGAAGAAAAAGGTAAAGATACAAATTATGAACAACAAATATGCATCTATCAACAAGTGAATCTAAGAATCAAGTGAATAAATAATCTGATGAACAGAATGAACTGGTGATTATAATAGAATCAGGGACATAGAAAGGGAAAAAAAAAAAAAAAAAAAAAAAAATAGTCTTCCTATAAAACAGATTAAGGAATTCAAAGGTAATTGACTATGATATGTCAATTTCAGTGCCTATGAATCAAAATATAAATGTCTCTTCTTCTGTTTCCTCAAAAGGAAAAATTTAGGCTATTTGATAATCACTAATAACTCAAATCTAGTAAGAGATACTACAGACAACTTGGTCCCTCATGAAATACAAGTCCTCAATAAAAGAATAGTCTCTAATAATTACTAGTTGAATATGTACATAAAGAACTTCTTTGTTAACTGTACCTCCCCCCTCTAATAAATCTACAGATTAAAATCACCCTATTAGTGGCTATAGCTCCCAATTAAAACTCTGCCTCCCAACCTCTTTGCCCAACCAATACATAAAAATATACATGCTATTCAAACTGAAAGGAAAGTTGTGCAAGGACAAAACGGGAGTGAGGGCTTTGAAAAGTACAGAAAACAAGAACCCTCTCTTTAAAAGACCAATACACAGACATACGAATATTCTACTTGGAACTTCAATTGTAGACAACAGCCCCTTTTGTAATTGTATGTTGCTCCCTAGTTCTGTGCTTCCTTTTCCCCTATATTCCATAACCTCTGCTGGAATTGTGAACTATTCCAGGACTCCCTATTACCCCAGGTTTGACTCAGTATAGGTCATTTGCTGGCCACTCCAAGACACTACTTCCTTTCATTTTCAGTATCTCCCTCAAACACTCTCCTTTAAGTTTGTCTTACATAAAACCGGGTTTTCCTTTGTCCTCAAGGAGCTTACAGACTAGCATGGGAATCAGTCAGGAAAACTGGATATATTATTGTAACTGTAAGCACAAGTTGCTATAAAAGCTAAGAAGGGCATCGAACACTAACTAACTAGGGGAAAACTCAAAAGAGAAATCTAGAGGAAGTTTTTAAGCAGTACACAAAATACATTTGGACAAGAACGAAGCTAAAGACAGAGAACTAACTAGCTTATATGCTAAGCCTAAAATGATGAATTGAACAAAGAATATGGGAAAAGGTGCCTTATGATATACTTTAGCCTGGCCGGCATGGCTCAGTGGTTGAGCATAGACCTATGAACCAGGAGGGCTTGGTTTGATTTCCTGGTCCTGCACATGCCTGGGTTGCGTGCTCCATCCCCAGGGTGGGGTATTCGGGAGGCAGTCCATCAATGACACTCTCTCTTCATTAATGTTTCTCTCTCTCCCTCTCCCTTCCTCTCTGAAATCAATACAAATATATATATATATATATATATATATATATATTTTTTTAAATATACACTTTTAACTATGTAAAAGGTATTTTTTAAAGTTAAAATTCTAATACTTACATAGGAATAGGAACTTGACATGGAGGACAAGGTAATGCGGCCTGAATAAATGCTGGCTCTGAAGGCTGTTCCCAAGGGCCTGTAGGCTGGTGCTACAAGTAAAATGCATAACAATTTTAAGTCAAAGGGGTAAAATTACATGGCCATTAAAAGAATCTTAGAAAATTGTTCCATGTATCCTCCACTCAAGCAGGTGGAATATTTTTCAAAAATATCAACAAATTGAAATATTCCATTCCATCTGCATTCTATCAGCTTGTTCCTCTCCATAAACATTTGATATTAAAAACTGAGGCAGACTCCAGTATTTTAATGCCAGAACAGAGGCAATATAGCCTCCTTCACTTCTCATAGGCCAAAGGGAGAATGAGAAACAGAATTGTAAACTCTACCTTCCACCAGCTGAATGTTATCTCCATTATTTTGCTCACTGTTGTCTCCCTAGCACCGAGAAGAATGCTTACATAGTAAGGACTCAATAAATATATTAAAAATGTGACTGAATCTTTGAGGAAACCAAAAGATACCTATAACCATAAACCACATATGTGAAGAAAAACTGCCAAATTTATCTCTATCTTGAAGATAAAATGACTATCACACTATATTTGCAAATATTTGTTTATTGGTCTCTCTCCTTTTCTATACTATACACTTCTTAAAACAAAAGATCAAGTCGCCGAAACCGGTTTGGCTCAGTGGATAGAGCGTCAGCCTGCGGACTGAAGGGTCCCAGGTTCGATTCCGGTCAAGGGCATGTACCTGGGTTGCGGGCACATCCTCAGTGGGAGATGTGCAGGAGGCAGCTGATCGATGTTTCTCTCTCATCGATGTTTCTAACTTTCTCTCTCCCTTCCTCTCTGTAAAAAAATCAATAAAATATATTTAAAAAAAAAAAAAAAAAAGATCAAGTCTTGATTACTTTGTACCCCAGCTCCTATCACAGTGCTCAATACCAAATAAGTACTTATTTACTGCTTGTTGAATGACTAAGAGAAATTCAGAAAATATGACCCACAGCAATCCACTGTCTCGTCAGAATATTGTTTCCTTACCCTGCCAGTTTGCTTTATTAATGCTTGATCATGACATGGAGCAGGACACAAGTGACCACATTTCTCCAACACTTTTTGGCAAGGTTGATGACATGGAGGACAAGAGCCAAAGTGACAGCGATGTTTTTCTTGACTTGTATGATGGCAAGTTGGTGGGCGACTAAATCATAAAGTACAATTTTTAAAATTACTTTTGATCACTGAAAAATTATATTTAAAGTGAAATCATCTATTTATATATCTTGTGATTCTATATAGAATAAGAATATACTGTGAATATTAGTATTTTAACACATTAAAGCAAAATTGAAAATATTAACAATATTAAAAATCAATATGAATTTAAATTGGTAAGACACAAATATAAGTTTGTGCAAAGCTTCATACCGACCTGCATAGCTCTTTGCACTTGGGTGGTCTTGTGGTACGTTCTCGGCCACAGGGTACTGTCACCTTTGTACTACCGCAATTGCACTTCACATCTACAGTTTCTGGGCAAGGATAGCAACTCCCTGAAAAAAAAGGCTGAAAGTTAAAATTTACTTAACTACCCAAATGTCTATCAATAGCAGAATCAATGAAAACATCAATAAAAAATGTCCTCGGGTGAGGATGTCAAAAAAACAACAACTGTGTGTAAAAATCAAGTAGGACTGGTGTTCTAAACTACACATCCAATTTCTTTAATGGCCATTCGACTAGTCAGATTTTTCTACTTCAAGTAAAGACCAGTGTTTTTAAAAATAGTCGACAATGCTCTATACACATTCTCCTTTCCCCGCCATCTTTATCGTATCATCTCTCTGACCTAATCTCCTACCATCTGTGCCCTTGAGCACCTCTTCCATGCTCCTTCAGTTCCTTCAAGTGCTCCTGTCTCAGGGCTGCTGCAATCGCTGCTTTCTTGCCTGAAACATTACCCTCCCCTATTGCCACAGGGCTTGATCTCTTACTTCTTAGGTCTTCTCTCAAAGTCTTTCAGAGTCATCCCCTGATCACACTATATAAAACAGTATATACCATCCCCACTGTCACCATTTAAATTTTACTCTAATTTCCTTTCTATATGTGGCACCACTGATATTCTATATGAATTTGATTAGTTATTTGTATTCTATCTGAGGGAAAGTAAAAATAAAGTTCCTTAAGAGCAGGCACTTTGTCAATATGGTTCACTCCTGTAATCCCAGTGCCTGGTACTTAGTAGACAAGGCAAAAAACTTATTGAATAAATTAATGATTAATGCAGAGGATGTTAATGAAATTTAAATTTGAGTCAATGATATAATATGACTATAAAGGAATAAGATCCTTTTCAGGGTTAATGGAATCTGTCACTTTTCCTAATGGGGAGGCAATGTGGTATAATGGAAATATCATTAAAGTCTAAGTTCACATCCTGAACCTGCAACTAGTTCTATGACCTTGGGCGAATAGTCTCTTGGACAGTTTCCTTATTATAGTAAACAACAATAGTGCCATATGCTTTGTAAGAGCTCTGAGAGGATTAAGACATTAACTAAGATATCTAACATGCACATAATCCCAAAGGAAAACAGTAGTTTGTCCCAGGTCATAAAGCCACTAAGCAGCAGAGTCCAGACTTGAACCAGGATCTCTTACCCTAAGTCCATGCTCTTACCACTACCTTATACCATTGTTTAGTAAATTACATTTTATACTGACATATTCCAAATGGGTAAAGTTAACTCAGTTTTTAATGTCTAATAACTTAGGCACCCCTGAGACTCCTTCAGAGGGTCTGCAAGATCTCACATACATAGAGTTTTCCAGAAGCTATATGACAAGTGATATCAAAAGAGATTGAATGCAGAAGCAGGTCTGTAATTCTAGCCATCTCCTATTAAGTTAGACTCGTTAGACAGTAAAGACATTTGCAAAAATGTAAAAAATACCATTCTCACTAAATTTTTTCAGAAAAGTTATTTTTCACAAAAAAAAGTTACTGTATTAAGAAGTAATGGGGCCCTAACCGGTTTGGCTCAGTGGATAGAGCATCGGCCTATCGACTGAAGAGTCCCAGGTTCGATTCCGGTCAAGGGCACGTACCTTGGTTGCGGGCACATCCCCAGTAGGGAGTGTGCAGGAGGCAGCTGATCAATGTTTCTCTCTCATCAATGTTTCTAACTCTCTATCCCTCTCCCTTCCTCTCTGTAAAAAAAAAAAAAAAGTAATGGGGTTTTATTGCTATTTTTAAATAAAATAATAAACATTATTACATTTTATTTCAACTTAAAATATAATAAATATCAATAGATAAAATCCACACTCACAAAAGCTCTTTGGGTCCCAGAGTGTAAAGAGGTCTTGAGACTAAAAAGTTTAAGAACTACTGGCTTAGGATATATCCAATTCCTTACTAAACTTAATTCCATAAAAATGTCTAAAATTCAAAGTAAAACTGAAAAACCTAAGAACATATTTATTAATTCAAAAATTCTGTGGGGAAGATTGGAAGGAAGGAAACAACATAGTATTATAAAATAACAAAACTTTTATATTCAGAAGACCTGGGCTTAACTCTTGGCTATATTGGTTTACTAGGTATTTCCCTGTGTATGTACGTCACTGAACCCTCTTAACTTTAACTTACCCATAAAATCATGATCTTGGCAATTGCCCTACCTTCTCAAAGTTATTAAGAGGACAAACTAAGATAATAAATGTGAAAGCTCTCTATCAACCTTAAAAACACTATGTAAATACAAACATGAAAGTACAGCTACTGTTAAATTTTACCTCTGTGGCAGACAGATGGACACTTATGGTTTCTACATCCTAAAGTCCGTCCACAGTTTTGATCACAAGGTGTACAGTTTCCAGGACAACACTGAAGAGAAAGCAATATATAAATAATAGGTCATCTGAAAAGCATGCATAATATAAATGTCATTACTAGATATTCACAGAACTTATGGAAAGCAAAAGATACTGTACTTCTTTTCAATATAAGAATAAAAGTAGTCAAGAGTATCAACATTCTTCTAAGAACTTGTAAGTTTAAATAGAGAATGTCCTAATTTACCAAAATCCAAGATAAATTTACTTGCATTTCAGTACATTATTCTATGACTTAAAACATTCCCATAATTTCATTTCTACTTATCTATGCAGAGATTGACAACATTAACCAAAGGAATAGATCTGGTCAAATCCTATAGTCAATTCAGGCAAACAATTGGTCTGATTATTTTAAAAATTTAGTTAAAAAAAAACCCAGTTAAATGTATAGATTAGTTTAGCAATTATTTTTAAGCCATGGAATCAGAGATTTACTAAAGGAGAAAAACAGAGATTAGGTTATTTGCTTTTAACTTTTATAACTTCCCTGTTTTCCAATCTGTTTGTAAGAAATACACCCGTCTACAACTTGTCCCAATTTTCATTCATGAACAAAAGGCAACTACTTATATTCCACCTTGCTATTCTAATTCCCTCCTTGACTTCTCATATATCCAATCTTTGGAGAGAAAATGCAGACCATAATTGTCTTAAAGGAACTTGGGATTGAAACCTACTTTAAGAACAAGTTTCAGTATATAAAAATAGCTCAAAACAAAATATACTTTATTGAAAAGCAATTAAAAGTCAAAATAGTTCACTAAATCAGTCAAATATTTACTAAGATTATGTGCCTATCACTTTGCTAGTGGCAGTGTGTGAAAAGAAATTTTGTGGTCCATGACTTGAATAAGCCTTTAGACACTTCTGTCTGACCATGGTGGAGTAAACAACAACCAGATTTATACTCCTGCCTTAAACAACTAGGAAATCAGACAAAATATACAGACATGGAAGATACAGGTAAGATCCAAACCCAACTCTCAGAAATGAAAAACTATAATATCTGAGATGAATAAACATAGGATGTGATAAAAAATGGATTAGACAAAGCAGAAGAAAATTAATTCCACAGTATAAGTCAAAGCCATATAAACTAAAACACAAATTTTAAAAACTAAAATTAATAAATGGAACATCAGTGAGCTGAGAGACTTCAAGTAGCATAACATACATATTGCAGTCTAGAAGGCAATGGGTAGGGGGGAAACATTTGAAGAAATAAAAACTGAAAATTTCAAAAAGTTGATGAAAACTATAAACCTACAGATCTAAGAAATTCAACAACAAAAAATTAATGAGCCCTGACCGGTTTGGTTCAGTGGATAGAGCATCGGCCTGCGGACTCAAGGGTCCCAGGTTCGATTCCAGTCAAGGCCGTGTACCTTGGTTGCGGGCACATCCCCACTAGGGGGTGTGCAGGAGGCAGCTGATCCATGTTTCTCTCTCATCGATGTTTCTAACTCTCTATCCCTCTCCCTTCCTCTCTGTAAAAAAATCAATAAAATATTAAAAAAAAAAACTTTAAAAAAAAATTAATGAAACAGGAATAAAGCTGTATCAAGGAATACCACAAACTGCTAAAAACTGGTAATAGGAATTTTTTTAAAAATAGCCAAAGGAAAAGAAGATATATTGAAAACAGAAAAACAAAGATAATCATAGCACACACACTTTGTTGGGAAAATGCAAATTAAAAGATAGTGGAGCAAAACAACTTTCAAACTAGAATTCCACAGTATAAGTATTTTTCACAAACTAAAGATATTTTACAAAAGCTAAAGATATTTTACAAAAATTGAAAGAATGACCAGCACAACAAAAAATGTTAAAGGAAGTCCTTCAGATAGAATATGAAAGCAGACAGAAATCTAAGTTAATATAAAAAAAACTGAAAAACACCAAAAATAATGAATTTGATAATTTATAATAATAAAAGCATAATCTGCTAATTAGATTGGACAGCCAAATGACCTTCTGGACATCCTTTCAGACATCCTTCCAGATGACCTTTTGGACAAAGCTGGGGCTGCGAAAGCCAAGGCAAGCCACTGTGGCTTCGAGGGCTGAGCACCTTGCACGACTTTCGTGCATCTAGTAAATTATAAAAGACTACTTTTTCTTATTTTTTCAATCTCTTTAAAAGATACCTGACTAGTTAGAGCAAAAATAAACATATTATATTTGGGGGTTATAAAATACATGGGTATAAAATGTGTAGTAAGAATCAAATAAAGGATTAAAATAGAATCATTGAAGAGCAACACTCAATAAAATAGAAATAAGCGTATATGCAAATAAGAAATAAATAGTAAAATGATATTTAAATGCAACCATATTAAAGATCACATTAAATGTAAGTGATCTACAGCCAAATTAAATGACAAAGATTTTTCTGCTAGGATAACACAATTATCTAAGTGCTGTCTATAAGAAAACCATTTTAAACGTAAAGTATGAATAGGTCAAAAAAGAATGAAAAGGATTTACCATGCTAACACTAAGCAAAAGAAAGTTGAAATCACTATATTTCCATAGGAATCTTACCAGAGATAAAGGGATAATTCATAATAATAAAGAGGATTCCCCCCCCCCAAAAAAAACCCTGCAAATCTACAAACTCAATAAAATACTCCAGTTGACTATATACTGAACCAAGTGTCTATAAATAAGATTTGAACAATAAAAATTAAACCAGCAAATGAACTATCACTCTTAACATTGCTATGATGTTTTAAAGTCAGGGAACAAAAATCGCTTAAGAAACAAGCTGAGAGAATTATGCACGAGATTAAAAAGTCTCTTGTCATTTAAAAATCTTGGCAAGATTTCCCACTAATATAAACCATTAGGATTAATTTAGAATATGTATTAATATTTCATATGAGAAGCATAGAATATGCTTGGATATTTGAGGAGCATGTCAAGGTGGTTCTTATCATAGGCCTACAGAGGAAAAATTCAAAAGAATTTTTAAAGCAATGTTCCTAGCTTATTACACATACCTTTCTCTTACACTGATGCTTCTGACAGTCACGCATCTTAACACACTTAGTTTCACAGAGATAAGGTTTATGACATGGCATTCGTTTTGTATGCTTTCCACAGCGACATTGCTTTTCTACTTCCTGGAAGAATCAAATAAATGCTATTAAAACTAACTTTTGTTAACATGATTTTTTTCACCTTGCCAATTTTTATAATTACTAAAAAATGAAGGAACCCAGTCAGCGTGGCTCAGTGGCTGAGCATCAACCTATGAACCAGGAGGTCACAGCTTGATTCCCAGTCAGGCACACGCCTAGATTTCGGGCTTGATCCCGTGTGGGCGTGCAGGAGGCAGCCGATCAATGATTCTCTCTCATCATTGATGTTTCTATCTCTCTCTCTCCCTCTCCCTTACTCTCTGAAATCAATAATAAATATTTGTTATATATATATATAATACATATATTATACACACACACACACATAAATTTTTGAAAAAAAATTAAAGAGGGAAGCTTTAAGAGCAAACTTGTATGAAAGGAAGACTTTACCAAAACTAAATCAGAATTTCCTAAAATGGTTGTTTGTATCTTACTTTGTTCCAAAAAAGACTTCATATGAATTTTCATTATTAAATTTAGTAGGAATTTAATACTAAATCGTTAAACAATACCACACATTAAAATAGCTTACATGTGGTTATACCATGACGTCTGCACATCTTATTTCAGTAAAGCAAGAAAATTGGATTATCTTGTAAGCTAATTTGTTGACTTGGTAGTATGGTCATAACCATGGTGACATATATATAACTTAAAAGTCTCAATTAAGCCTAAGCATTCATTTCTTTCCATCATCACTAAGCCTAATTCTTCATTGCTTTGAATGTCTACTGGGAACAAATAACCTCAACTTTGGACCATAAAAATAAGAAGTTCAAACTTTAACCAAGCAAAATCAAACAAAAGGTGATTTTTGGACTTGATTGCTGGCATACTCTCATGCTTCTTCACCATACCCATTAGGTCACTAAACTCATTCAGGTCATCATATAGGTATTTATAAAACTAAGTAATGGAAAACAATTACAGAACAATCCCATCAGACATAACAGAGAGCTCTTAGAATTAATTATTACAGGAGATGACTAACTTGTCTACATGTTTCACAAGGACCTCGGTGACAACGCTGTGAACATCTATGGACTCCACATTCAAGTAACTTGTCACAACTATCTCCACAAGTTGGCACATCTTCTGTACAAGGCAAAGAGAACTCTAAAAGCAGACAAAAAGTCAATGTTACTAGTAACACACATTATTATGAAGCATTAACAACATGCCATGTTCTTTTGACTCCCTAAAAAATGACAGCCCTTTCAGACTATGAATTTTTGCATCTATGTAACTATTGGAAAAATTAACTTTAATAAAAATAATCCCTAATATTTGTGAAGTTAATGTAAAGTGAAACAAAATTTGACATATTACAAGTTACTTCAAGAAGCACATTTACAAGCTAACTACTTCAGAAATAGTTATCTGAGGAAATAATGTCATGTAACCTCTATGAAGAATTCCACAATATAGAATTATAAAAACAATTTGCTCTTAATAACCTCACCGGATAAAAGAAGTAGATTCAAAAACATAATGAAACTCACCTTCGTCACAAACATGACAAGTACTGACAATAATCTTATGAGCATGTGTGCTGGCATTGGTACAGCGTCTACAGCCCTTCCATACCTTTAACTCAAAGCAACCAAAACTAAATTCACTTATAGCCCAATACACAATAATGACAACAGCCTGTAATTATTAGGTTTCCTTTATATGTTAGACACTACACTAACTGTTTTATGAGCATTTTATCATTTAATTCTCACAAACATCTTACAAACACGGTACCATCATTGTCTCCATTTAACTTGAGAAAATCAGATTTCGTGAAGCCAGATATGCCTGATTCCAAAGTCTGAGGTTAAACATGTTATACTGTCTTCTCATCCAAAGGTAAGAAATCTAACATTAATTGTGTATAATTATTGAAACTACATTATGAACTCACAGAGAAATCTAATGAGGAAAGTACTCTAGTTAGCATAAAAAATGATCATATCCCATTAAAGGTTTAAAAATAGTCTTACTTGACTTCTGACATGGACAGAATCTTTTCCCAGATCGAGGACATTCTCCACAAGCACCAACATGACAAATTTGCTCACATGTATGATTACCACATGGCAAGGTTTTCCCACATACCTAAAATAAAATGCAATAAGCACTAGTGAAAAATTTAAAAGTTAACAAGAAAGACTTTGTACATTACATAATCCATTTTTCTTTGTACATAATCCATTTTTCAATCATAAGCCACTTTTTTATGTTCCTCATAATTTGTTTTTCTCTCTTAGGTATCATATATCCATAATAATAAAGCATAATATGGAGCTAATTAGACTGGATGTCCTTCCAGACAACCTTCCAGATGCGGCCGGGATTGGCCGAGGCAAGCCAACAAGGCTGTAACTGACCAGCAGGCTGCAGTGGGTGGGCAGGGCCTCTCTCTGCGAGGGAAGCCTGGGTCCCGGGTGCTGGTGCCCCGGTGTGGGTGCCAGAGGGAAGCTGGTGCCAGCAGCCAGGGGAAGGAAGGCCTACTCTTGCACAAACTTTGTGCATCGGGCCTCTAGTAAATACATAAATACACACACATACATACACATATACTAGTATATACGCATACATACATATACATGTTTATAGACACATTCCTATGCACCAAAGATTATATTTTTTAAAATATAATACAGGAAAAAAGTATATACAGCTTCATATGGCCATCCACCAAAGATTTCCAAATGGTGCTAAAACCATGCCAATTCTAGGAAAAACAATCTATAAAATCAATTCTACTTCCTCAATGGGATTAACTCAAAAAGTGAGGAGGGTGTTGTTTAAAGAGAGGGGAAAGGAAGGGAGAAAGAGCTAGCAAGAAAGAGAACATGTATATGTACTGAATCCAAAATTCAACAAATAGTTGTTATTTTGAAAAAAATTACAATATTAAATTGGAAAAGTTTCCTAAAATGAGAATATAATTCATTTAAGTTACTACTGTTCCTTTCATTTTTATCCCACTAAATCAAATGAGCTAAATCCTGATTAGCATTTCTGATATGCTTTCCGTATTAATGCCTACGCCCTCAAAATGCATGGACACTTACTTGATCACAGTGCCACAGTGGACTTGCACAGCTTCTTTCAGTTACTTGTTTGCCACAGACACACTTTTGCCTACTAACTCTTGGACAGGGCGGACAACTCCCTAAAATCACAATTATAAATTAGCACGGACACATTACAAAGCAATAGAGACTGTTTTCACTTTGGCTAAAAGGTACGGTCTTTCACCTGCATGACAAGGATTTTCACATTTATGTTGTCCACAAAGCAACTTCCGCCCACATGCCTGCTGACAGGACCATTCCTTGGCACTGCATCTACGAGGGATGGGTTTTGCTTTCTTACAGTAACAAGTAGTTGTGACCATCTTTGGACAAGGAGGGCAGGGCCCTAGAATCCAATAAAAGGGGGAGAAATCAGAGGTCAAAGATAACTTTCGATTCCCATACCTATTATTGATTTCTAAAGCTTTCCTTGCTTATACTTCAAAAGACATCCCCTTTCAAAATTTTCTTCTATAAATTTAAGTTCTGAATTCAACTTTCACAATTTTTTTTTTTTTTTGCCTCAAAGTAGTAACTACCCACAAACAATTACAAACGTAATATATAACTTACCTGGATGACAGAGGAGCAAACATTTATGGCCGCAAGGAGGTTTAAATTCTCTTTCACACACTTGGCCACATGAATGAGGCACAAGCCACGGATCTAAAGGTGGATCTTCTACTTTTCCACAATAGCAATAGTACCTACTAGGTGTGTCAGATCGTTTGTACTCAAACCTACATTTTGGACTACAAAGAAGAATTACCGAAGTTAATTTCATTTTTAAAAGTGATACAAGATACAGGAATATACATATACTTAGCAATATGGTACACTCAATTTGCTTTATTTAAGGCACTCTGCTCCATTTTTATATTAGTGAAAAACAAGATTTTACTAAAATAAGTTTCAACCATCTAGAACACCTTTATCCAATATAATTTCCTGAGGTAATGGAACAGTTCTATACCTGCCAAGTCCAATATAGTAATTATTAAACATATATGGCCAGTGAGCACTTGAAATGTGGCTGATGCGTACAACTGAGAAAGGAAGAGAACTTTGGTAATTTTAAAAAATTTAAATAACCACGGGTGGCAAGTTGCTAATGTATTAAACAGCATAAATAGCTAGATCCTGGCTTCACCATATAAGGGTAAGAGAAGTCTGAACACATCATTTTATTTCAACTAACTTTAATATCCTCATTGGTAACATGGGAATACAATCTCTCACAAATGACTTGAGAATTACTTTTACGAAACTATTATATCTGAAATGTTTTTAAAAACTACATTCTATCACAATTTGATAAATACAGGGTGGGGCAAAAATAGTTTACAATTCTGAGTATGTGAAACACAGAGTTTATTCTTGAATTAATTATTAGTACATTATTTTCCATACGAACAACTGCAAACCTACTTTTGCTCAATCTCGTATATCAGCTATGTAACAAGAGGTCTAATGTGGATTCAGGTTTTCTAAATCCTGAATCTTATATAATCTAGGGGCCACTGTTAAGAGAAAGAACTCAAAATTACAAATATAAAATTAGTTACAAAAGTGAATATTATGTGACCACACAGAAACCCTGAAATATCTGTGTCATTATTTTGACAGTAAATCTACCCTTTTGGTTGCCAGTGTGAGTAAATTTTTTTATTGTCTTTATTTAGCAGATTTATAAAATTTTCATTTTCCAACTCTTTCTGGAAATATTACAGAAGTTCAAGATCAAATCATGAATAAACCATCTAATAAAGTAAATGTAGAAAAAATAATAATATTGAATAATATACACCTACAGTTTTGAGAGATTTGGGGGATAAAATTGAAAAGCTTATGATCAAAATGTGTTAGATGACAGTATTATACAATGTGATAATAATGTATACTAATATGAACTCTGGGAGAGGAGTACCAGAATCATGAAGAAGTCCAGTCTTATAGAAAAGAAAGTTTTGCAGGGGAAAAATAGTTTGAATAATGATTTATTAACTAGTGGGAAATAAAAGCCATTACCAAGCCCCATATCTTCACAAACCAAATGACTAACTGAAGGCCAAACATGGACACTGAAGCTGCCAATAAAGCAACTTATGAGCTACATTTTCATTTATTTTACAACTTGATATTCCAAAATTAGAAAAATTACCAAGGCCAGGGATAATCTCTCCTTCCAAAATCGTCATCTGTCAGAGAAGATACCAGAAACTGGCTGTCTTTAGCCCACTTCTGGATACAGGGCATGTGAAATATACAGAAACATCCTGAACAACTCCAAACCTAAGACAAAAGTATCAGATATTAACATGCATGCAATGATTATTTTTCTTTGATAATTACATAAAAATACTTTAAAATAAGCACCACAGTAAATTATTTTCAAGAGCAAACTACAGATTAAGAAAAATAATTCTGCCCTGGCTGGTATGGCTTAGTTTGTTGAGCATCGTCCCATGCTCAGAAAGGTCAAAGGTTCAATTTCCGGACAGGGCACATACCAGGGGTTCAATCCCTGGTCGGGGTGAATACAAGAGGCAACCAATCAATGTTTCTCTCTCTCTCTCTCTCTCTCCCTCCCTTCCTCCCTCCCTCCCTCCCTTCCTCTCATACAAGAAGCAACCAATCGATGTTTCTCTCTCTCTCTCTCTCTCTCTCTCTCTCTCTCTCTCTCTCTCCCTCTCTCCCTTTCTCCCTCTCCCTCTCATACAAGAGGCAACCAATCGATGTTTCTCTCTCTCTCTCTCAAAATCAATTTTAAAAAACATACTTAAAAAAAAGAAATATAATTTTTCCTTCCAGAATAACATAAGCAATGTTCTTTAAAGGAAAATATCATTAACCATCCAGATTCATTCAGCTAGAAATAACTACTGCTAACATTCTGGTCAGACTCTAATACCTTTATTTTATTTTAATTTTTTAAAATCTTTATTGTTGAAAGTATTACATAGATCTCCTTCCCCTGCCCCCGTCTCTAATATTTTTAAAAATGTGTTTGATAATTTTTAAAAGGAGTCATGCCATACTGACTGATATGCAACTTCATAGCCTTTTCTTTTAATATAGTACAGTAAAGCCTCACACACACACACACACAATTTAAAGGCTTAAGGAATAACAGTAATCAATTTTAAAACCTACCAATGCGTTAATATAACTGACAAAAATCAGTTCTCCTTTCATTATAACATTTCTCAACTGTTTAATAAAATCAGACATGTAGCATATTGCATAAACTGGCAACAGCATTTTTTAAAAAAGCCAACTTTTTAGTTGTGTTCTTCCTCAATCAGCGGCTAAGAAAAGAACCGGGATGTGGGAGTTAAGAGAGGACAAGGTGGGAAAGAAGAAATGCCAATGAATGGTAAACAGCTGAGCTGATTACAGCTAAGGACCAAAGTTCAGTCCTGCTAGGGACCCTCTGAAGAACCATTTAAAACATACCTAAAACTATCCCCAACCCCAACCCCTAACAGAGAGGAGGTTGGGGTACTCATCTACCAATTCCCTGTGATGGAATATTGGCCCAAGGGGGATTAACTCCCCTGTGATTCTGCACTACACCCATGCACTGGCCAAGTTGGTTCCCAAGGAGGAAGCATTAACATTAAAAAAAAAAAAAAAATCCATACACATACAGAGTGTTTAAGGTAGAACTGTATCCACATGCAGAGACTATTCATCCATTGCAGTTGAAATCAGAATAAACCAACCAAATGTGACTCCAAGCACCAAAGGTACCTGCATTTGCTATGCTATCCTATCCAATGTGTTAAGTTTCTGATTCACTCTACGTGATCAACCCATTTTATTTGGCCTTTTTTCCTCTAGCCCAGCGGTTCCCAATCTGTGGGTCACAACACCTTTGGGGGTCGAATGACCCTTTCACAGGGGTAGCCTAAGACCATCGGAAAACACATATATAATTACATATCGTTGTTGTGATTAATCACTATGTTTTCACTATGTTCAATTTGTAACAATGAAATTGGGGGTCACCACAACATGAGGACCTGTATTAAAGGGTCGCAGCATTAGCAAGGTTGAGAACCACTGCAAGACAATACTGCTATAATAGTTGTGGATTAATCTAAGGTCTAAATGTTGAGTCTATCATAGTCATCATTTCCTCTTAATTGCTCCATTAACACCCTTTTAAATTTACATATATGTAACTTCACCCTTAGGCCATCTCAACCCTAAGTACTACATAAGTTATGTCTTAATCCATCTCTCCCCAATGACAACAGTCACTTTCCACAATGGCTTCAACACAAGAAAAGCTCAGTAAATAAACCATGGTCACTGCTAGGTTCTACTTCCTTGAAGGCATCTTTTTTCCAACCTGCTAAAAGTAATGAAATATAGTCCATTTAAACATTTCAGTATTTGTGAGAATCTCTAAAGTACAAAGATATTAAAAATGCTTTATCACAATGACATGAACATTAAAACTGAAGATACTTGTTTCAACTATATTAATAGTGCTAAATATATTGGATGCTCATTTAGAAGTTTTCTTTAAATTACAGATTTACAAAATAAAGGTCAATAAAAATCCTCAAATGAAGCATTTTTAAACAAAAATAAGCAAAAACATAATAAATGATTAAGTATTATAAATGCAATGTAAGATATTTTGGGGAGACCCATTAATATAGATAAGGAGAATAACTTACTGCCTGGTTTCTCTTCACTGAAGCAATACAAATTAAGCATGTCATAGCCCCTGCTTGAAAAGCTTCATTTAAATACTGTTTCGTTCGCTCTAATTCACGTACATCTCCATCTTGAAATTTAAAAATTGAAAACTTCATGTTAAGCAACATCTGAAAATAACACAAACTCGCTAATAGCACTACAGAGTAGGTGAGAAATGTCTAGCAGTATCAATTGCTCAAAATATAGCTTAAAATTAGAAGTTTAAAAAGAGCAACCAGCGAGCTGCCAAAAGGTCACAAAGTGCATGCATTAAATCTTATATACTTGATTCAAAACCAGTATCTTGGCCCTCTCAGCATACTTGCTTTTATTGTTGTTACAGTGCTTACCAAATCTGGTAGGGGCAGAGCCACAGACAAGAGCAGCAAGATGTGAGTAACAAGAGAAAGCACATCAGAGCAAAGTGAAAGACACTGAATGTCAAAGCTCAACAGAGCCATTTAGCCTAAATATAAGCACATACATGTATGTGTGTGTTCATGTGTGTGACACACAGCATTGTTTTAATAAAAACTTATTGAATAAAAATATCCTGAGGTCATTATAGTATAGAGTATAATAACTGTTTCTGCTTAAAAAGGAAGCATGAACTTCTTATAAAAAGATTATTAGACTATATTTTCTGAAGCAATTATTGAGCACTTATTTGCTAGGCACTGCACTATTAGTATTCAGTAGGGTTAAAGGAGCTACTTTTATCATCATTCTACCGATGAGAAAACTGAAGCACAGAACAATTAAGTAATCTCAATTTGACACTTAACCACTATGAGCCCCCTTAATCACTGTTAGGATGCAGCAAGGGATTACCTTAGGAAGGCCCAAGAAATAACAGGTAAAAGCAAAATGAAAGGCAGAAAAATTAACCAAAGCACACATGAGACCAAAAGGGCAGTGATCTGAGTCACTTTAGTGTAAGAGAAATAAACCTACATACCTTTAGTACAATAAAGACTGTTCAATAGAGGTTGACTGAGTAATCATATAAACTATCATAAGTATAGAACTTATGGCAATAAAATGGTTCAAATCAAAATTTCAGTTACCAAAAAGAAAAATTAAATAAATAGGTTGCTTGGATAATTCTTTATTTTCTAAGATCACCTCAGGAAACACAGCACTTACAAAAACATGCTCTACATAATATAAATATAATTGAGGATAGTAAACAAAATATACATTAAAAACAATCCCAAAACTTTAAAATATTGTTAAATTATTAAATACAATTGTATCCTTAGAAGCAGACTTAATAATCATATTCTATGTGCTTATTTTGCTTTTCTCATAGCTGGCTTTAACAAATGTATAACATTTTAAATTACATCTAATTTAACAGCTAACACAGAATGAGAACAAGATAAAATAGGCTTTAACAAAATAAATTCTAATCTTATATTTGTAAGATTTCTTTACAAACTGTATTAAAGTTTCGCTGCGATAATAAAGTATACTGCCCAAATGTCATGGTGGATAACATGGCATTTAAAGTCATGCATTTTAAAAACATCATCCTGGCAACTAAAGAAAAGTAAGTACAAGGCAGCTAAGACTAAAAGCTAAAGTATCAGTTAAGAGGCAGTGATAGCAGAAAAATAGAAAAATGACCTTGAGCAAGTTACCTAATGTATCTACCTCATTTTTCTCATCTCTATAATAATAATAATATTAATACCTACCTCACAGTTATTATGTGGATTTAATTCACACATTAAATAGCTGTAGGGGCCTAAATTAAGGCAATGCTAGTAGTATATGGGAGAAGCGGGGTGGATTCAAGAAATTTAGGAAGTAAAACTCAGCAGGACTTAGTAACATTTAAATTATGCTGCTTTTAAAAGTCGATGTCCATGTCAACAGTAAGAAGGAAAGAATGCTGTGTTTGTTGAGATGCCTGACATAGGCAGAGGGGAGGAGTGGTAGTGAATAAAACACACTCATGTCATGAATGTGCCATCCCTGCTCCCAGATTTCTGGTTTTTGTGTGTGACTTGGAAAACTGTGATGTTACAAATTGAGATAAAGAAAACAAAAGGAGAAATGCTATCTTTCAACATATGCTTGATGCATCCATGGCTAGTAAGATGGGGATACCCATCAGGAAGTTGACCATGCAAGTCTAAATTTAAGAGAAGAATCACAAAAAAGTACAAAGTCTGTGTGCAGAGAAAAAGAATGAACTTCTCTGATCAAGTTCTGATGTCCAATTCACTAACATGAGATGGGAATGCTGGCATATTTTGTTCTTAAGTGATCAAATTTCCTTACTTACACAAAGGAACAAGAATCAAAATATTTATGGATGTGACACAAAACAAAGTAAGAAAAACTATCTTAGTACTTTAAGATGAAAGCCTGATTAAAAATTAGTAAAACTTATAAATGATAAATGTTTCCTAAACACTACAAAGAAATACTGAGTTACACCATTGAATTGCCTACTTAAAATCTATCTAGGATGGTTTAAGTGAAGTCTTCTTGAAGCAGGAACCTTCTTAAGGTTGCTTTCTATGAAGTCCTCTAGAACAGCGGTCACCAACCTTTCTGACCTCACGGACCGCTGGTTGCCGACCGCTGCTCTAGAAGTAAGTACCTGCTAACCTTAAGGCTACTCTTTATCAACTTTTACCTGGCTGAGCCAGACTTCTTAGTCAAGCCTCCTAATCTAAATTCCACAGCAGATATGGTAAATTCCTTGGGAACCTATACGACGGTGTGTACCTATCCTCATGTGCCATCAATATATTCAGGCAACTAATGTTGATAATTCACGAAAGAATGCTTCTAATAATGACTTTAAGTATAAAATGTGGAAAGTATAAAACACTTACATTTAAAATAATCTATTTTTACACTTAGTACCAAATCCTCCATAGCAGCACCACTCTGGCCCCCCCTCTCATAAACAAATATGACTTGAAGAGCAACCCAGATATAAACAACATGTGATGTGATTGTACCTGTCAAACCTGAGTACTTTGTTTTAAAAAATGGTATGAAAGTCAGAAGTTGTAAGATATAAAGAAATAAAGTCATGAAATGAAAATGATTTCAAGACACATTTAACAGGAGAAAAAAAGAGAAAAAGGTGAATAGACTTAATGGATTCAAAGTCCTCAAATGCAATCAAATCATAACCAGGAACAACTTGACCCCACTCATCCCACAGAGAGCGTTGGCATCTCCCTCCCAGCATTCTAATGAAATACCAATTAAACACACAGGAGAACGTCTAAGGCTGCACAGCATTGCCATCCCATCTGCTTTACAGAAAGACCAGTATTATACAGTATAGAACTCAAATAGTAAAATGTACAAACATCAACTCTACAACACAAAAATGCTCATTCTTAAGGTGCAAAAACTATTCCACATGGAGTAAAAGTGGTTTTTAAAAGCCAGGAGTATATTTTCATTAATATCAAAAAGGTCTAAATTTAAAACATCATACAGTACCTGTCTGAGTAGTGTAAGTTATAAACGTATTAGCAACTATTTTTCCCTGTTTTCCTTCCAAATCTTCATCTCCTTCTTCTTCAGAGGAAGAGCTGAAGTGTTCTTCAACAAGTTTTTTGGCCGCAGCTTGATTAGCCTTCTTGATTTCCTCAAATTTCCTTTGAGCCATTAGCTCTGCTTAAAGGGAGAAAAAAAATGAGTCTCATTTCTGCAAACCAATCTCTCAAAAGGCAAGTCCTAATTACTAATATATCATTTTAAAATACAGATTTAAAAGTCACCTTTGGAGCATTCTATTTTACTAACACCCATGAAAAAACAGTATTCTCAAATTTCTTGTCACACAACAAATAAGAATGCCACAATAAAAACTTTCATGTTTGTAAAATACCCTGCTAAAAGCCGCGAATTGTTCTAAAAACAGTGACTGGCCCACCAAAGACTGAACAAGTAATAATCACTGTACTACATTTATGTAATCTGCTCTTTAGAAAGCTCAAGAACTTTTTGCCTGTATTAAAATGTGGTCACAAAACATATATATTTACCATTAATCCAAACAAAATGTTGCTAACACAGAGAATATACTTCTTACCACGTCATTCCAAAAAGAAATGCTAAGTTTTGGGTTATTCTTCCACTATTCTCTTTAGCACTATTTGTACTTCTCATCTTGTTACTGGGTTAAATAATAATGCAAAAATAATTAGATTATTTCATAGCGTATTCCCAGTGAGTGCAAACTCCTCAAGAGCAAGGACCATGGGAATTTTCCTTAAGCACTAAGTGTTAACAAACTCTAATGGACAGCAACCACCTTTTAAGAAAGGAGCCACAAACATACTGAATTGATCTAAATTAATTAGTGCTCATATTGAGAGGATTTTAAATTTACTCATTTAAAATTTTCAATTGGCCCTGGCCCAGACAGCTCAGTTGGTTACAGCAGCATCCTGAAATGCCCAGGTTGCAAGCAACCAATGAATGTATAAATAAGTGGAACAGCCAAAACCGGTTTGGCTCAGTGGATAGAGCGTCGGCCTGCGGACTGAAAGGTCCCAGGTTCGATTCCGGTCAAGGGCATGTACCTGGGTTGCGGGCACATCCCCAGTAGGAGATGTGCAGGAGGCAGCTGATCGATGTTTCTCTCTCATCGATGTTTCTAACTCTCTATCTCTCTCCTTTCCTCTCTGTAAAAAAGCAATAAAATATATAAAAAAAAAAAAATAAGTGGAACAAATCAGTGTTTCTCTCTCTCTCTCTCTCCTTTCCTCTCTCTAAAAAAATCAAATAAAAAATGTTTTTAAATTAAAAAAAATTTAAATCACTAGTTTAAAATTCACTTTATGCTTGAAACCAATGAGCCACTACTAAGATAAGCCTTCTTATTTTAGGTGGTATTTTTATCTTTTCTTTCCCTCACGAAATGTTTTCCCTTTTCTTCTTGCAGCCAGTTTGGTTGGGGACTGTGCAGTGTTTCAAATAAAACTGGAGGGAAATGTACCGTGTGCCACCTGGGAATCTTTTAGTGTTAGGAGAAAAGTAATGTCTATAAGATATATGAATCCAAACTTGATGCACATCAAGAGAGACGACAAACCTCACTCATTACGGGAAATTAGTAGTTAAGGAAACGTTTTTTAAAAGGTTGAGTTAGAAGACATAATAAAAACATTCATCACCTGATCAACGCAACCACATAAGACGATCTCAAGAAAAGCTGACAAAGCAACCTTCCTATCTATTATTTGTAACAGCAAAATCTCAATTACAGCACAGGTTAAGAAGGCTAGTTTTCCACGAGCCACAAAACCCAGTAAGGTTTACCAAAACTGTTCTCGGGTCTCCAACTCGCAAACCTCACCACCATCAACTCAGTAACTGCAAGCTAGGAGAACACCACCTCATTTTAAAACTAGCTTAGGAGGAAAAAAGCACATAGAAGCTCAATTTGCTTCCCCCCACCCCACCCCCCGCCAAAAAAAAATTTATATATATTCTGAAAAATACATTCCAAGCTCACACAGAAAAATGACTTCAGGAATTATTCCTGGCCCCACGCACTTTACTTTGTTAGTAAAGACGACCTGGTGTGTGCGCTGCTCCCAGCTCCCCTGAAACACAGCCTTGCACGAAAGACACGGACAGACGCGAGGAGGCCACACCAGCCGCATCCAGGAAAAGCCCAGAAGTTTGTGAACAGGAACCAGAAACGCACCGCAGCTGCAGAGCTGACGGGACACAGCGCGTGAAAGTCAGCAAACAGAGCCAGCCATCGGGCAGAGCCGGGGAAGGACAGGACCCTGTCACTGCGCTGCCTCGGCTCGGTCCGGTCTAGGGGGGACCTCCGCCTCGCGTCCGGCGGACGGTGGCCACGCACTCGGCAGAGTGATTCCCAAGAAAAGCTGGCCAGGTGTGCATGAGATTAAAACACACAAACACACACAACAGCAACAACGACGAGCGCCAATCCAGCCTGACAGCCTGCGCTAACCAAACCAAACTGCAGGTGAGGCCAGCGAGCCCTCCGGACCACAACGTGCAACTTGGGGTCTAGGACGTCAGGAGGCAAAATGAATGAGGGGACGAGCAGAGGGCGGAGAACTGGCGAAAGTTAATGATGCATGAAAATTAAGAGAAAAGGTTTTTTCAGTGAATTTATCATTAAGACGGGACTGTCTGGCATGCCGAAGAGGGGCAGCCAGGAAGGTTTGCCGGGAGAAGACGAGGAGCGGGACAGCCGAGGCGAGGCGGTCCCGCGGCGGGAGCCCCCCCACCGCCCGCGGAGTCTGCGGCGCCCCGGGTCCCGCGGGGCCGTGCCGGGCAGCGCTACCTGCGGCCGCGGCGCTCGCGGCTCCTCGGGGGCTGGGGCCCGGCGCGGCGGCGCCCCCCGACCCCGCCTCTCGCCCTCCTCCGGCTCCGCGCAGATGGAGTCCATTTCCTGGGGAGGGGGCCGCAGTGGCCCGTCCTCGGGCTCGGCCCCGGCCACCGGCCACCTGGCGCCAGGAAGCTTCCATCCCTGAAGGGAAAAAAAGAAAGAGTGGCAGGAGCTGGAGCGCAGCGGCGCGCGGGCGCGGGGGCAGCCGGGGGAGGGGCGGGGACCGGGTGGGAGAAAGTCGCGGCCCTGTCTCTCCCCGAGGGCGAGCGCCCGCTAACCCCGGGCTTCGGAGATGGACCCGAGCGGGAGAGGACCTGGGCAGGGAAATGGAATGTGGGGCAAGGAGCATCCAGCGCCGCAGAGGGGAAGCCGGGGGGAAGGAAAGCGCCTTCTCAGCCTCGGGCGGAGCGCCCTGAGGGGAGAGCCGGGGACTGACCTCGCCGCTCCCGTGGGGAGCCAACTGCGGTAGCGGACCCCAAGGAAGTCTACGTCTCCTTACCGACCGAGTCTGCCCCCAGCGACTACAATTCCCAGAAGCCCACGGCCACGGCCCGTAGAACGCGTGGCATCACTGGCCACTTCCTTATCCGGGACTGGCGGGGGCGAGGGCTGAGAGGGGGAGGATAGGGAGTTCCGAGCGCATGCGCTGACTGAACTGGGCCTTCGGAAACTACAATTCCCGGCGTGCTCTGGATCCCAGTCGAAGAGGGCGCCAGGTGGGGAGGTGGGTGCTCCTGAGATGTTGTTTACACCAGAAGATACAGCTGCTTATACCTCCCTGAGTAGCGGGATTCTGTCGGAGTGGCTGTAATTGACCGCCCTCCATCTTTACCCTGGCCTTGGGGCTTTCAGCTGGCGGAAAACTTTTCTCTTGAACGGAAAAAGTACTTAATTAAAAACTCTTGGGGTCGGAAAGGATGAGGGAGTTTTGCAAAAAGGGCTGGAATGGAGAAAGCACTCTTCTAAATTGCTGACGCCCTGCAGAAGATAAATCGAACACCTGTTATACTAGTGCTTTGTAGTTGACAATATGCTTTCCCTGAGCAGGCTGATTTTTACCTTCAGGATAGCTCTGTAAAGTAGATTTTATTAAGGAAAGTAGTTGAGGACCAGGACCTAAATCTTCTGACTTCTCTTAGTTTTCCAATAAGAAATAAATTTCAAAATTGGTGTGGTCCTAACCAGTTTGGCTCAGTGGATAGAGCGTCGGCCTTCGGACTGAAGGATCCCAGGTTCAATTCTGGCCAAGGGCATGTACCTTGGTTGCGGGGCACATCCCCAGTGGGGAGTGTGCAGGAGGCAGCTGGTTTATGTTTCTCTCTCGTTGATGTTTCTAGCTCTCTATCCCTCTCCCTTCCTCTCTTTAAAAAATCAATAAAATATATTTAAATGTTGCCCTAGCCGGTTTGGCTCACTGGATAGAGCATTGGCTTGGGGACTGAAGGGTCCCAGGTTCGATTCCGGTCAAGGGCATGTACCTTGGTTGCAGGCACATCCCCAGTAGGAGGTGTGCAGGAGGCAGCTGATCAATGCTTCTCTTTCATTGATGTTTCTAACTCTCTACCCCTCTCCCGTCTTTGCTGTAAAATCAATAAAATATATATTTAATAAATAAATAAAATTGGTGTGGAAGAGGGGTGTCTGTCTGAGATTGACAAATATATTGATTGCTTGGGACCACACAATCTTTATACAACCCTTTAACTCAACTAATCCCTCTACATTACTAATAATATCTAATATTTAATAGTATTTATTAAGTGCAATTCTCCCAGGGCAAATTACTCTCTCTGTGTCTCAGTGGTCTCAGCTGTAAAACAGGGAAAATGTGTGTACATATGTAAAAACTAAAAATATATATATACATTTATGATTTGTGTGATTTACTGTTTGATACACCTCAATTTTTTAAAAAATTCTAAAAGTATAGAAAAGTAATATATCTAAATACTTTTATTGTGCTGCCATTTGAAAAGTGTGATTTAATTGTATTTATTTGTCCACTAGGGGCCCAGTGCACAAATTCGTGCACCTTGAAAGGAATTGTGGGCCCCACTAACAGTTCCGGGTGCCTCCTGTCCTGAGGCACGAGGACCCACGCGGGACTGCCCCTGGCACTGCCTGACGGGCTAGTTCCCGACAGTCCGGCTGGGGTCCGTCACGCAGATCACATTTTCAGGAGCTTGGAGGTTGGTTACAAGGCATTCGAGTCCCCGTGGGTAGGGTGGTGGGATGGGTTCTCACCTCCCGGCTCAGGCTCGGACCTGGCAGCCCGGGGCGTGCCGAGGCGGAGGAAAGCCCCCCGGCGCTGGTCCCGGATATTTGTGTCTGCGCCGCCATCGTCCCAGATGATGGGTCGGGATTCGCGCTCGCGGTCGACGGGTCGTAGGGGTCGCAGGGGCCGAAGGCGGCGGACCCGGAGCGGGAGTCGAAGCCGACATCGGAGCGGGAGGCCTCTGGCAAGGGCCCAGGCGAGCGACGAGAGGGCGTTAACACCTCGGTCAGCTCCGATGTGCAGTTGGTCTTCAAAGGGAAGACGTACAGCCAGCTGCAGGTCATCTTCCAGGGTATTGAGGGCAAGATCCGGGCCGGGGGCCCCAACCTGGACATAGGATACTGGGAGAGCCTCCTGCAACAGCTGCGTGCCCACATGGCGTGTGCCAAGCTTCGCCCGCGGCACCAGGACGTACTCCGGCAGAAGCTCTACAAGCTGAAACAGGAACAGGGCGTGGAGAGTGAGCCGCTATTCCCCATCCTCAAGCAGGAGCCCCCATCTCCTGACCACAGCCTGGAGCCTGAGGACCAGGCCCTGACCCCCCCAGGGCCCTCCTTGGAAGGTGGCCCCGTGGAGCCTGAGGCAGAGGAGGCCACACCGGCAGAGGGTGAAGCAGAGGGGGAGGCCGTGCTCATGGAGGAGGACCTGATCCAGCAGAGCCTGGATGACTATGACGCCGGCAAGTACAGCCCCCGGCTGCTCACGGCCCATGAACTGCCACTGGACGCCCACGTGCTGGAGCCCGAAGAGGACCTGCAGCGCTTGCAGCTGTCTCGGCAGCAGCTCCAGATCACGGGCGATGCAAGTGAGAGTGCGGAGGACATCTTCCGGCGGGCCAAAGAGGGTATGGGCCAGGACGAAGCACAGTTCAGCATGGAGATGCCCCTGACGGGCAAAGCCTACCTGTGGGCTGACAAGTACCGACCTCGCAAGCCACGCTTCTTCAACCGCGTGCACACGGGCTTCGAGTGGAACAAGTACAACCAGACACATTACGACTTTGACAACCCACCACCCAAGATCGTGCAGGGCTACAAGTTCAGCATCTTCTACCCCGACCTCATCGACAAGCGCTCCACCCCCGAGTACTTCCTGGAGGCCTGCCCCGACAACAAGGACTTCGCCACCCTGCGCTTCCACGCCGGGCCGCCCTACGAGGACATCGCCTTCAAGATTGTCAACCGCGAGTGGGAATACTCACATCGCCACGGCTTTCGTTGCCAGTTCGCGAATGGCATCCTCCAGCTCTGGTTCCACTTCAAGCGCTACCGTGACCGGCGGTGATGGCCCTGCGTTTCCCCGGACCACCTGAGAGGAGTGTTAGGCTGGCAGCCTTCCCTGGCTGGTTCACAGCTCACCTCCAGCTGGGCCTTCCCCTCGCAGCCTCCCTTTCCCTGTGTGAACAGCAAGTCACCGTGGAACTGCCTCAGAGGCTTGAGGGGAGGACGGGATGGCTGGCCCAGGATTCTGACATGCAGGAGGGGCTGCTGGGGGGACTCTTTGAGCCCAGGGAACCCAGCAAGTGTCAACCACCCTCCCTGTCCACATGGGCAGAGTGATGCCCAAGTCCCATCTTAGACAAGTCCTGCAGTGCAGGCCTTGCGGGGGAGGGGTGGGTGCAGGGAGGACAGCATGGGGCCCAGACATGGGGTACCGAGCTTTTGAGGAAATCCAAGTTCAGAGCGTTGATGGGCCCTTGGACATAGCCGGTTGTTGCAGGGCCCACACTCCTGGCCCTTTCCCAGCGGCCTTCCTCAGTGCCCACACCAGTGGGACCCGGACCCTTGTGGTGCATGTTCCAAAAGAGACCATTTGAGGGACATGCCACCCACCTCACCCCTGGTGCTGGCTGAGGGTCAGTCTCTCCCCAAGTGGGCATGAAGGACACATCCACCATCAGATCTAGGAGCCAGGGGCCACTGAGAAGTCCTTCCACAGCCACTGAGCATCCAGGAGGCAGACTCCATGGTGCAGCTGATATGCCCGATCTGGCCTGGGTGTTCCCCTCACCTCAGAACAGCTGTGTTCTTCAAGGCCACCTCCCAGCCACCACAGAGCTGCCCTCCATGTTCCTGTGTTTCAGACGAGGACAGTCACTCACCCATAGTCAGACTGTCAACAGTACAGTGGGCCAACCACCCCAGAAACATTGCTGTTAGCGCTCTGTTATGAAGACATTTCCAGCCTAAAGGAGAAGAACCGGCACCAAACCATGAAGTGCCACCTCCCGGCTCCTCAGGCAGCCCCACCAGTACCCCATTTCATCTGGAAATATTGAGGTTGTTTATCTAAAAAGACTTTTCTTTAGGTGGGGAGGGGAAATCTTGTTTATTTTCATTTATTTGGTCTACTCAGTACATTTTTAAAAAATAAATGCTCTATTTTAGAATAAAAAAAAAAAAGAAAGAAAGGAATTGTGGGCCACGAGGCTGCGGTGGGCACAGGGGCAGGTCTGGGCCCATTCTCCGCACCCCTGTCTGGCCCCTCCTACCGCAGCCCCCAGTCCCTTGTCTGCCCGCAGCCCCGCTCCAGCTCCCGCTGCCACTGCCTCTCCCATACGCTGACGGTGCCAGCCCCACTTGCACCTACTGACAGCACAGAGCAATTGGGGCCAGCGCCATCAGCAGGTGCGAGCGGCGGCTGCTGCCCTGATTGCCCCTCAGGAGCAGGGGGAGGTGGAGAAGCCCTTAGGGGCAATCAGGGCTGGCAGCACCACTTACACCCACTGACGGCACTGAGAGACCGGGGCTGGCAAGCAGGGCTATTGCTGGCAGCAGCTGCGAGCAATGGGCAGGACTGTGGCACATGGATGCAAAGAATTTTCAGTAACCCCCAGAAGCTCACCCCAATGACAGCAACCAGCGCCCTGCCTTGGTCTGGCGCCCCCATTCACCTGCTCCACCATCCCGCTGAGGCCGACGCTGCCATGTTCCACACTGCTGCCAATGCCCGCCATGTTCTGCACACCCTCCTGGTGGTCAGCACACATCATAGCGACCAGTTGTTCGGTTGTTCCATCATTTGGTCTATTTGCATATTAGCCTTTTATTATATAGGATTACAGATGTATCTTGATAATAGATTCTTTTTGCCAGCATATCCATACATGCTCTCCAAATACATTTGTCCTTTACAAATACATCTAACTGTGCTAGTTATCACTTTACTAGAGGCCCGATGCACGGATTTGTGCACCAGTGGGGTCCTTTGGCCTGGCCTGTGGGAATTGGGCCTAAACTGGTTCTCCGACATCCCTGAAGGGGTCCCAGATCGTGAGAGGGTGGTTCTCGGGTGTCGTACCCCGGAATTGGGCTCCCTCCTCTCTGATTCCCGGTTCATCACCCAAGAACCACAGCTGCCAAGTCACCACAGCTCAGCAGCTCCTACATTGAGCTCCTGCCCCCTGGTGGCCCGTGCACATCATAGCTACCGGTCGAAGGTTGAACGGTTGGCCAGTCGCTTAGGCTTTTATATATATAGATTGCCTTTCAGCTTCAATTCACCTTCAATATATGCTCTGTGATAATAGGAAGAACTCCTTTAGGTACCTCCACAGAGAGTACGATGTTTAGTTTTCTCAGCAGAGGGCACTGGAGAGACACTGCAGGAGTGAAGGTGTTCTCCTGGTATTTCCTGCTGTTGCACAGTGGGTCAGCAATCCTGCAGCCTTTGTCTGGTTTGGCCTGGCCTTAATCTTCTAGCAGCCTTCTCAACATGAAAACTGACTCCCAAGGCCTCCTGCTCACACTGGCACCCTCAGTCATCACTGACTGTTCACTGAACCCTGCATCCCCATTCCGTGCACTTGCTATCACTTTCACTGTAGACCAGGGTGCCACACCTGTGCCTAGGCCCCCATTCTCTCTACAAGCCCCCCACCCCCACAGGATCCTGATCACCTACACTTGAGAGGGACTGCAGAACAGCTGTGGCCAGAATATACCAGCAAACTTGTCTGCCACCCAGTGGGCTGAACCACACATCCAATAGGATCTGAACCTTAGCCTTGGAAAGGTGGATTTCTCCAAATTTGTCTTGGCTTGGGTACTCTCCCTAGACTATCCAATTTCTTATCAGAGCTTAGTAATTCTTTATATTAAACTTAACCCACTATATGGCTTCCATTCCTGATTATATCCAGATTGATATAGGCAGTGTACACATTTTATATTAGTTTTTCTTGAAATACTAGCTATGACCAACCAAACTGGATGCAGAGGGGGGGAGAAAAAAGGAAAAGTGGTAAGAAGGAAATAAAGTATATAAAAAGGTAATCAAGTTGATTTTCCTAGTCAGATGGAGGGGACTGGCCCCCCTTTTTTTTCTTTAGAGGACTTATTGCCCCTTGTTTTCAATACTCAAAATTGAATGATATAAATAGTATTGTATATTGTAAATTTCATAAAAATAAAGTATTTTTCTTTAAATGGGCTGTCAGCCCTGGCCAGTTTGGCTCAGTGGATAGAGCGTCGGCCTGCAGACTGAAGGGTCCTAGGTTCGATTCTGGTCAGGGGCGTGTACCTTGGTTGCGGGCACGTCACCAGTGGGAGGTGTGCAGGAGGCAGCTGATCGTTGTTTCTCTCTCATCGATGTTTCTGGCTCTCTGTCCCTCTCCCTTCCTCTCTGTGAAAAAATCAATAAAATATATATATTTTAAAAAAATAAAATGGGCTGTCATTTTATTTTTTCTAGGAAAACTTTCATAACACAGGAAATATCATCCAAACATCTATTCATATTCAATATGAGTTTTTTTTTCCAATGTTCAGTTAAATAATCTATCTAATAATCACTAATCAAGTCTAGCAAATATCTAATACTGTCAGGCCCTGGTCATGCAAACTCAGAAATCAGATGGGTTCACTGTAAGTACCAGAATAGGAATGGGGAGGTTCATGAAGATGCTGAGAACTGAGAATATTATTTTTTAACATTTTTAATTGATTTTAGAGAGGAGGGGAGAGGGAGAGAGACATAGAAACATCAATGATGAGAGCAAATTATTGATTGGCTGCCTCCTGCATGTCCCCTGCTGGGGATCAAGCCCGCAACTTGGGCATGTGCCCGACTGGGAATCAAACTGTTACCTTCTGGTTCATAGGTTGACATTCAACCACTGAACCACACTGTCTGGATGTGAGAATATTATTAAGGACAGAGTAGATCTGAATGGGATGGAAGGAAGCATTCCGAGTGGTAGGAACAGCATGAGCCACGGTTTAGAAGTGCAAATAAACATGGCATGTGTTTGAACCAGAAAGGAAAAAAGTCTGTTGAATACCAAAGGTGATTAATAAGGCAGAGCAAAGATATAAATAGGGTTGGAGAGAACCTTGAAAACAGAAGTAAAAACTGTGGTCTCGATTTGACATTAAGTAATCACTATGGGATTCAAGAGAAGGATGATGACGTCATGAAAGGTTTTTCAAGAAAACTAATGTAGGAATACTAATAAAATTTGAGCCAGAAAAGGCATTGCGGGAGAATGGCTACGTAGAATTAGAATTATAGTTGATATGACCCTCAGTTTACAAACTCAAATGTGTAAATAATCATATTTCAGTAACCATAACCTTGTAATCAACTTAGTTTGAACTCTGAGTTTTTCTTTATCCTCAGGATTGGTGGGAAACTCATGAATTTATTAATTTATTCAACAAAGATTTATAAATCCCTATTATGTCCCAAGTACTTTCTAGGCACTAGACATAGAGCAATTAATGAAATGATGCCATAGTGGCAAAACCTAAGGTTTAAAGTAATTAGTGCCAGTGTGCTGTTTTGGGCATGAAACTTTTAGGGACTGGGAGCTCCAGGCCCGAGAGCTCCAGGTCTGGGATCCAACCTTCCCATTGCTCTACTTAACTTGTTTCCTTGGAGGAGCTGCTATAGACTTGAGGTGCTGCTCTGGAGCACTCAAGAAACCAACAGATTTATTTCCTCCTCCCAGCCCAGACTTAAAGTCTAGCAGAAATCCTGGTTCTGAGTAAACTCCATACACCTTGTAAAATATTCTTGCCTTCATCTGTGATCTTATAGAAGACTCACTATTTCTCTGAATGTGTTGAAAGAAAAATCCTCTAAAAACTAGAATCTCAACCTACCAGGTATAGTGGGATTGACATTCTGTTGAGAGAGAGAGAGAGCAGCTGGGAGCAGGATAACTCATTAGTATGTTATGGTCTCAAGAAATAACAGGCAGCCACTCTAACTAAGCTGTTTCTACTTAGTGACAGCACTGTGAGGAGTTATTGTCTTGATGTTTTGTATGAAGAGGCTTCCAGAACCTCCACTCTTGTGTTCTTTCCCCTTATAATATGATTTTCCTCATCTCTGCCTAGGCTAAAGTGAATTATTTCCTCTCCTAGGCAATTCTACTTACCAGCCTCTGAAAGTGTGCAATTGCCAGTAGTAGTCCATTAATTAATCATGAAATCAATTTAGTAATTTGCAACAGGCATTTTTTTTGAAAGAACTAAAATAGAATAGATAAAAGAGAACGTCCCTGAGTGCACTGCATGTTCTAAGGGTATTTTTTTCTGAAGCATTTGTTATATCTGTGTGCTTTCTGGATCACAATACAAAATGCATTTTATATGGGTCACTTATTATGGGTCATTATCAAGAAAATTTGAACAGACTAGCAACAGTTACCCTCATTATTACATCTGTCCTCTCTCTGCTTCAAAATATTTTTTCTCTTCTTTCCAAACTCTGCTGAATATTCACTTCTGAGAATCATTTGTTCCCCAGTGTAAACAGTCTTCCTGGAGTTTCTGTACCATGTTATCTGTTGTCTATCCTAAAACTCTAGCAAACAGTCGGGAAAGTCCAATCAGTAAAGCAAGTGCAGGGGCTAATGGATCACTGTTTATCTCACATTGGCTTTAGGACTTGATGAACTTTAAGATGTTCTTTTTCTCTTACTCAT